CTAGTGGAAACCGTTTATCATCCGCACAGGGGCTTGAAAAGCACTGCATCAGTTAAAGCGGCAATCAGCAGTAGAAACAATAACATTTACATTGACATTTTAGTCATTTAGCAGACGCTCTTATCCAGAGCGATTTACAGTTAGTGAGTGCATACATTTTCATAACAAAGCGGTTGTCGGTAAAAATCTGAAGGATGGGGCTGGAGAAATGTAACCACTCTCAAAATCATAGACAGAGCTATGGATGCAAGGACTGATCAGCCATTATATCAAAATGATAGTTTAACCATGTTTTGAGGCTGTAGTAGGGTATTTGTTTACATTTTTTTTTATTACAAACATTGTAGTAAAACAAGTTTTTGTAATTGGGGTTCTGATGTTGTATGCCAGTTGAACTAAGTTCATGAGGCATTTATAAATTATAGCCTATTCTTCAAGAATCAATGGGTACATATCATTAATTTATAAATAAAATAATGGATGTAACTGCTGATTGCCACTTTATGCACCGCCTTCGCTCAATCCTGGCAGCATGATCAATCGTCCAGAAACATACATAGGCCTCTTTTCTGTGAAATATATTTTTGCATTTTCAAACTAGTTTTCATTGTGAAGGCAGATGCTTTTTTATATCAAAAGCAATCACTTTTGCATGTGAAAACACAGAATCGTACTCATTACTCCACGTGCTAATTACGTCGACCTAAAGGTGGGTTTTGAACCGGGCACCTGTCTCTCGCCCGGTTCCAAAACAAACGCAATCAACTTTCACCCGATGCAAAACACGCCTATCCGGGCGCCCGGGCAGATTAATCGCATAATCCTACATGAGCCTTGACAGACTCTCGCCGTTTCATCTGTCCTCAAGAATCTGTCCCCGAGAGATTATGGTCTGGTCTCAATGAAATAGAGTAGGCTGCCTATGCATGGGCAGAGAATCAAGTGGCAGTAATTTTTTCAAGAAAATTACATTAAATATGATTAGACTACAGTTTACTAGTGTCTGTAAATAAAAATACTATTGATAATGGAAAGAAGTGGATGGCACTCAACCAACGTTAGTCAAGGTGCAATAAATAAATAAAATGATTGAAAAGGAAAAGGCGTAACGCGCGCATAGGTTACCATTATTTTCAATCAATATGAATTACCCATTTATTTGTCTCCGCCTGCAAATCGTCCTCCTAAAAGTTAGGCTATATCCTATATACAAAACGTAGTGAAAAGAAGTTCAAGAGAATGCAAGTGTCCGCTCTCATCGTTCTTGCTGCCTCAAATTCAGTAGCCTTACATGCGAAGTAGAGTAGGTTTTAGCCTATGCATGGGCGGATAAGCACGGAGCCGTTATCTTTCGAAGGCAATGTACTTCCTAAATATGAGTTGGCTATAGTTTACTACATTGCCTAGAAATATATATTGATCATCCATGTGTCACTGTCTGAAAATCGTCCCACTCCTAAAGGGTAGGCTATAAAACGTAGCTCAAGAGAAAGTGAAGTGTCCCCAACTGCTCTCTCAAACTGCTTCTAGTTTATTGGCTGATATAGCACAGTAATACCGATAGCCTAATATAATGGGCCACTTGAAAATCTCTTGAAATTCAACCTATTTCTTGGGTTATTTTTACACATTTTATATTGCTTATATAGGGCGCAAAATTGCTTCGACCATGGCTGGCAAATGAGCTGCGTCGCATTCGCCGAAAATAATATTGCTGGACTTCGGTTGGGTTCGGGACCAGTTCTTGCGGTTGCGGGTGGGACTCGGACAGAAAGCCAGCGGATGTGGTGTAAAAACCTGCGGGTGCGGGCTGAATTAGTCAGTCCCGTGCAGACCTCTATTGCAGGGCGTGACAATGGGCGAGTTCGTTTTGCATGGTACGATGACCCGGGCGAGTGAAGATTTCAGTGAAGGACCATTGGAATGGTCTAAAATATTTAAACTCCGCCCACCTGAGGCACCGGGCCATGCAAAACGAACGCTCCCATTATCAACGCTATTTATAAATCTTTGGACATTATACAGAGGGATACCATAAAAACAAAATGCATATTTGTGTATGCCTGTGAATGAGGCAAGCTCAACAAAGGTCAAACTACAATACAAAAATAAAAGAAGCTGGGGTTTTCCAAACATTTGATTTACCTACAACATAACATTTTACATTTACATTTTAGTCATTTAGCAGACGCTCTTATCCAGAGCGACTTACAGTTAGTGAGTGCATACATTATTATTATTATTATTATTTTAGTTTAGGAATCGAACCCACAACCCTGGCGTTGCAAACGCCATGCTCTACCAACTGAGCTACATCCCTGCCGGTCATTCCCTCCCCTAACCTGGACCAATTGTGCGCCACCCCATGGGTCTCCAGGTCGGGACCAGCTATGACAGAGCCTGGATTCGAACCAGGATCTCTAGTGGCACAGCTAGCAATGCAATGCAGTGCCTTAGACCACTGCACCACTCGGGAGGCCACAGGGTCAACACTCCATAGTGGCTCCATCAACAGGTAAACATGCCTATTTACACATTCAATATACAGTGGGGGAAAAAAGTATTTAGTCAGCCACCAATTGTGCAAGTTCTCCCACTTAAAAAGATGAGAGAGGCCTGTAATTTTCATCATAGGTACACGTCAACTATGACAGACAAAATGTGGAAAAAAAATCCAGAAAATCACATTGTAGGATTTTTAATGAATTTATTTGCAAATTATGGTGGAAAATAAGTATTTGGTCACCTACAAACAAGCAAGATTTCTGGCTCTCACAGACCTGTAACTTCTTCTTTAAGAGGCTCCTCTGTCCTCCACTCGTTACCTGTATTAATGGCACCTGTTTGAACTTGTTATCAGTATAAAAGACACCTGTCCACAGCCTCAAACAGTCACACTCCAAACTCCACTATGGCCAAGACCAAAGAGCTGTCAAAGGACACCAGAAACAAAATTGTAGACCTGCACCAGGCTGGGAAGACTGAATCTGCAATAGGTAAGCAGCTTGGTTTGAAGAAATCAACTGTGGGAGCAATTATTAGGAAATGGAAGACATACAAGACCACTGATAATCTCCCTCGATCTGGGGCTCCACGCAAGTTCTCACCCCGTGGGGTCAAAATGATCACAAGAATGGTGAGCAAAAATCCCAGAACCACACGGGGGGACCTAGTGAATGACCTGCAGAGAGCTGGGACCAAAGTAACAAAGCCTACCATCAGTAACACACTACGCCGCCAGGGACTCAAATCCTGCAGTGCAAGACGTGTCCCCCTGCTTAAGCCAGTACATGTCCAGGCCCGTCTGAAGTTTGCTAGAGTGCATTTGGATGATCCAGAAGAGGATTGGGAGAATGTCATATGGTCAGATGAAACCAAAATAGAACTTTTAGGTAAAAACTCAACTCGTCGTGATTGGAGGACAAAGAATGCTGAGTTGCACCATACCTACTGTGAAGCATGGGGGTGGAAACATCATGCTTTGGGGCTGTTTTTCTGCAAAGGGACCAGGACGACAGATCCGTGTAAAGGAAAGAATGAATGGGGCCATGTATCGTGAGATTTGGAGTGAAAACCTCCTTCCATCAGCAAGGGCATTGAAGATGAAACGTGGCTGGGACTTTCAGCATGACAATGATCCCAAACACACCGCCCGGGCAACGAAGGAGTGGCTTCGTAAGAAGCATTTCAAGGTCCTGGAGTGGCCTAGCCAGTCTCCAGATCTTAACCCCATAGAAAATCTTTGGAGGGAGTTGAAAGTCCTTGTTGCCCAGCGACAGCCCCAAAACATCACTGCTCTAGAGGAGATCTGCATGGAGGAATGGGCCAAAAAAAAGCAACAGTGTGTGAAACCCTGTGAAGACTTACAGAAAACGTTTGACCTGTGCATTGCCAACAAGGGTACATAAAAGTATTGAGAACTTTTTGTTATTGACCAATACTTATTTTCCACCATAATTTGCAATAATTCATTAAAATCATTCAATGTGATTTCTGGAATTTTTATTTCTCATTTTTGTCTGTCATCGTTGACGTGTACCTATGATGAAAATGACAGGCCTCTCCCATCTTTTTAAGTGGGAGAACTTGCACAATTGGTGGCTGACTAAATACTTTTTTCCCCACTGTAAATATTATCATCGTTCTTGCTGCCTCAAATTCAGTAGCCTTACATGCGAAGTAGAGTAGATTTTAGCCTATGCAGTTATCTTTCGAAGGCAATGTACTTCCTAAATATGAGTTGGCTATAGTTTACTACATTGCCTAGAAATATATATTGATCAGCCATGTGTCACTGTCTGAAAATCGTCCCACTCCTAAAGGGTAGGCTATAAAACGTAGCTCAAGAGAAAGTGCAAGTGTCCCCAACTGCTCTCTCAAACTGCTTCTAGTTTATTGGCTGATATAGCACAGTAATACCGATAGCCTAATATAATGGGCCACTTGAAAATCTCTTGAAATTCAACCTATTTCTTGGGTTATTTTTACACATTTTATATTGCTTATATAGGGCGCAAAATTGCTGCGACCATGACTGGCAAATGAGCTGCGGCGCATTCGACGAAAATAATATTGCTGGACTTCGGTTGGGTTCGGGACCAGTTCTTGCGGTTGCGGGTGGGACTCGGACAGAAAGCGATCTAGAGGAGATCTGCATGGAGGAATGGGCCAAAAAAAAGCAAACAGTGGTGGAAAAACCTTGTTGGAAGACTTACAGAAAACGTTTGACCTGTGTCCATTGCCAACAAAGGGTACATAAACGTATTGAGAAACTTTTGTTATTGACCAAATACTTATTTTCCACCATTAATTTGCAAATAAATTCATTCAAACGCCATGCTCTACCAACTGAGCTACATCCCTGCCGGTCATTCCCTCCCTAACCTGGACCAATTGTGCGCCACCCCATGGGTCTCCAGGTCGGGACCAGCTATGACAGAGCCTGGATTCGAACCAGGATCTCTAGTGGCACAGCTAGCAATGCAATGCAATGTAGTGCCTTAGACCACTGCACCACTCGGGAGGCCACAGGGTCAACACTCCATAGTGGCTCCATCAACAGGTAAACATCCCTATTTACACATTCAATATAAATAATTATGAAGTAACCAAAACAATACAATTACTGGGCAATATAATGTAGCCATTACCCTTATCACTGTATCATTATGTGCTTGTAGTCATACATTTGTCTTTCAGTTTCTTTGTACCTTTTATAAACATTCATATTCGCTCTCTTAATTGATACTCCATATAATGTGTGGCAGAACAAACAAATTACATACACAACAACCACTAAACAACCTTTGCATAGGAGAACAATTCTACAAAATTATCAGCTCATAGATCCCTCTTGACTTCAAATTTGCATATGCAGGAGTCTCTCTGGCTGTCCATGTAGGGTTTACACCCCATGTGCATGACAGCCTCAAACAGCAGGGTCACAGTATTCTCACACGCTGTAGAGAGAGAGACATGGAAACACGAGTAGATCATGTTATACAGACATATGAAACACACAGAAAAATTAATCAAAATCCATTTTTATTTGTCACGTGAACAGTTTCCAGCAGGTGAATGAATGCAAAAAAAAAATCGTGTCAAATCGCCAATTGGCAACCCATTCCTTATGGGATTAATTGACACATAAACAAACATTACAATAATTCACTGTGGTAATTAAATGATAATTCTTCTTCCGGTGTTCTCTGCATTATGCATCGCATAAAGAGTGAAAAAATGTAAGGTAAAAAATCAATACATAATAGCAAATAAGGTTATCCAAACAATAATTATATCCCTAGAGCAGTAAAATAATATACATACATACATACATACATACATACATACATACAGTATACTGATAGCAGGTATAAAAGGTGCAGCGAAATGCTTGTGCTAGCTCCCTCAACATTGCAGTACTATAATTAAGCAATAAGGCCCGAGGGGGTGTGGTATATGGCCAATATACCACGGCTAAGGGCTGTTTTTACACACAACGCAACACAGAGTGCCTGGATACAGCCCTTAGCCATGGTATATTGGCAATATACCACAAACACCCAAGCTACCTTATTGTTATTATAAACTGGTTACCAACGTAATTAGAGCAGTAAAAATACGAGTTCTCATACCTGTGGTATACGGTATGATATACTACGGCTTTCAGCCAATCAGCATTCAGGGCTCGAACCACCCAGTTTATCATCAATAATAAGAGTCAAGTCAAAAATTGCAAGTAATAGAAGAGGTAGTACACATAGTAATATGGATGAGTTGTATGATCTTCCGTACCAGCAAGATTGTTAGCCTGGTTAAACCAGACTGAATGCTGCACTTACCAGTGAAGTGAAACAATTGACAATGGTGAGTGCAGAGTTCAGTATGATTTAACCAGGCTACAAGATGGTGGACACATTATTGAATTAACTGTGAGGAATGCTTGAGTAAAGTCCTGCTCTGTGTTCAACACTGGGGGCATGTCAATACATGAATTAGGGTGGTGTTCATTAGGCAACACACAGGAGAAAACAGACAAACACTCATTGTCGTGTTCCGTTGTAAAACGTTTTCTGTTGCATGCCCTAATGAACATAACCCAGGTGCCATCTTACCTTTGACACTCTGGGCCAGTCCCAACATCTTCTGTAATCTCCTACAGATGGTCTCCAGGCATTCCTGGAACTCATCGTCACAGTCGTGTTTATCACGGTTACAGGTGTCATAGCAACGGTCGTGCTGGTTACAGCACTTGGTCAAGGACGGGATGCCGATGTCAAACTGTAGAGTAGACAAAAGAGATGGCCATTAGATCAATGCTCACAAATATTAAATGCAATATATGACAGGTGTAATCACATTCCTATAAACAGTGGTCGCTGTACAGGGTCGCCACACTACTATGGCTGACCCTGTAACACAACACATTTCATTGCACCTATCCGGTGTGCAGTGAAATTCCTGGTCCTGAAGATCCACAGCTATAGCTTATACACTATAATGTGTGCAGGCTTCACTGTCTGAAACACAGGTCTCCGCTAAACATAAAAACCATGAATTGCTTAAATCAGGAGTGTTAGTGCTGGGCTGGGACAACAGCCTGCACACACTGCGCCCCCTCAGGACTAATAGGGAAGACCACTGCTATAGATCGAAGTCAGACATGACACTAGCTCACCTGGACTCCGAAGAGGGGCGTCCCACATCCATTGGGTGGGGGTGGTTTGTAACCAGGCCGGGGTTCTGGTTTGTAACCTGCAAGGAAACAGCAAAGGTAGAGGTGTTCTGAGTTCTTCTTTATCTTGTTGAGCGAGATAACCTGTTCAGAGGCTACATAGTGTGTTGGGGATCGCACTGTACCAGTTTAATGGTTTACAACTCAAAATAGCTACGGTGGTTCTTATCTCCTTTGTTTGTGGAACATTAATCACTTTTAACTGTGCTTTTGAGTAAACGGCTTGTCTGCATAATAAGCAATGAGCAAAGTAGTTATGGCCATGTTTTATTTCCACTACCAACAATGATTTACTGTGTGTGTAGCCTGAGAGAGACCTTACCATCGCTGCATTCATAGTGACACAATCCATCATGACCTCCAAATAAGTCCAGAGCAACGTTGAGGTATTTGTCAATGTTATGGATCCCATTGCGAATGGTTTTTAATGTCATTCGCCAGTCAGGTGTTTCTGGTTCAGGTTCCTTACTACATGAAGACACACAGCTCAGAAATCCATAGGAACATAGTAAGCCCACGAGAAAAACCGAGATGCAACTGTTATGATGCATGACGACAGCACCGGATGCTAGAAAATAGTTGCAATTGGTTGGCATGTGACTCCAAAGTTAAATGACTCGACCAAACGTCGGTAGAAAATCATTTCACACTTTCCCAAATGTTGTTTCAATATAAATCCTATTCGACGTCAACTGATCCGCTGTCATATAATTCACTTTCCGGGTTTGGGAGTAGTCACGTGACAGCAATACGCCTATCAGTGACAACATTTACATTTGCACTTGTAGTACACGTGGTCACTCATAACGCATCAATGTTCAAAGTTCATGCATGCCAGCGATACCAAATGTATATTCATGACTGATTTGATGTTTTTTTTAAACTGAGAAATTGACTTGGTTTCTGTTTTAAGGCAATATTAAATCAATAAAAGTGATTTTCACTGTAGGCCTATACTCTATGTAGTTTGCTACGGATTATTCAGAAAACAAACCACACTACAATTCACATGTGGATTTACAGGAAAAAACAGAAAATTACCCATTCTAGTAGACTTGTTCAGTTGCATTGCAGTTTTATGGATCACAGTACCGACCTGTTTGGGTACCAAGCTGGAGCATGTCGCCATAGAAATCCATGTCAACACATCTTTGACCAGCCTCATAAATATGGTGAGGCCATATTGGGTTGAGAATAAGGCCTCCTGCAAAATGAAAGTGAAACTGTATACAAACTACTAATAGAGTAAGGGATCTGTATGCCAGGGATACTATTCAGGTGTGGAAAGCACAGGCCTACACAGTCTGAAAGAGTGCTAATATAAAACATTTAAAAAAATATGCAATATCCAGTCTAATGTTTAACCTGCACTACTATGCCATCTGCTTCATAGCAAAATTGCACACGCTCTTGTGCTTGGAACAAATTAAAACTGCTTCTGGTAATAATTTATCGTTTATTCAAATGATTAGTCGAGCAATGAAGAAAAACCTTGTTTTTCTACTTAAATAACTTTCAAAACATTCAAAATGAAAAATGTACAACTTGATGAAGAAGAATAAGTGAGTTTAGATGTCCGTTTCGATTATGGTTCCAACTTCACATTTTTCCCAGGCCAACAAAGTTCTCGAGTGAGACTGTGGTCATTTCTTCATCTGCGGAATGAACTTCAAGGTCCATGGAACTCCACACAAGGTTCCACTGTGGTAGCTAGGAAGCATTCTCTGGGTTCCTCACGATATTAGCACTGCTAATGTATGGATTGGAAGGAGGGCAGCATCTCCAGATGAGCCTAAAAATCTTGTTAAGTCAAGCAGGTGAAGTAGTTATCATCTAAAGTGAAGAAGATTGTGATTTGCTTGTTACAGCAGAATGCTTGGCGCCTCAATACTCAGAGGCACCACCACGATGCCTTCTGCTTTTACCGTCAGTGTTCATTTCCAGAGTGGGTTCTTATTTCCGGAAAACACAAAAAGACAAGCAAAGAAAGAAGAGAAAAAGAGGTTGTGGTTCTCAAGTGTTTTGGGAGGTTGGTTGATCTATTGTTCAGTCGGTTCATTGAGATGCAGCAAGGCAGCTCCCATGGAGGAGGGGGTGAGGAGGATGGAAGGACGGTACTGGGGGAGAGACAACTTAGAACTTCAACAGTAAGGCTAATCATTTTTATATATTTTTTCTCCTTTCCATCTCCATGGTTTTTCCTTAAAAAAAAACATTTACATACATATATCTATTCATATATCTCCTCTAAAAGCGTTCTGTGGGAGCCTGCGGCGTCGGGCGGGCTCAGCCCCCCCTGAACAGGTCATTTAGTCTGTCCAGCTCCCTGCAGTTATCCATGGTCATCAGCTCAGCCTTCTTACGCAGGCGGTCGTCCCTGTAGACCTTAGCAGCGTACATCAAGTCAGTTTCTGAGAGAGAAGGGGGAGATGAACAGAGAAGAGTCAGTCAATATCAACCATATCACACTAAGCTACTTCGAGGGAAAGCTTTCGTCACAAAATAGAATGAAATGAATGCGTGTTTGTAGGGGTAGTTGTATTGCATCACATGGGGCTTATTTGATTGAAGTCATCACTGTAATTATACCCTGCGGGGGGTGACAGGGTGCGTGCTACACCACTGATTTTAACTATAAGTTAAGTATAACTATAAAAAAATCTAAGATGTGTCAAATAAATGATCAAGCTCAGGGCTCCAGCTATGCATTTGGTTTGCTAACTTGCTAGCTAAGTGGCTAGATGTCAAGATAAAGCTTCTTGGTTACAGCAGAGACATTCAATCTCCTCCTGGATCAAGATCCCTGTTGCCTAAATTGTTTTATGCACCCTCCCCATCATAAAAAAAAATACTTCTGGTAACAGAGCATATGAGCGGAGTAGAGCGGGAGCGAGCGTGGAGCGTGAGCGGACGGATTTTGAACAGAGCGCAGAGTGGCATTTTTAAAAGGATGGCGCGTCGCCCTATGTCCCGCTCCAATTTCGCTCGCTCACACCAAGAGTCTGAAGCATGCTCAAGCCTGACCCAGAATCCATCTGTTTAATTTAATTTGTGTCGTCCAAGAATTTTGTATTTTATAGAGCGAGGAGCAGCAGCAGCAACAAGAGAAAAGCGTTGAGGAATTCAAAAGTTTATTCACTGCAGGCAAAGGCCCAACCATAACAAGGGAGAGAAAAAGAGAGCTGGATGTAGCATTTAAAAAAATGATTTTCATGGACTATGAACCGCTGAGTAAAGGAGAACGCGAAGGGATGCAACACTTCGCCAGCGCAGCTCAACCGGGCTACATCCCCCCCCCCCCCCAAGAAACTATGATAAATCAGTACTTTACTTTGTCAAATTTACATCTGAGATGCCCCATTCACATGCTTCAGCTGGCGATCAAAAACGCCGTTAACGAGCACGACAACATTAATAGGCTGTTAGTGAAAGTCGGGCACCTGGTGAAAAGTGTAGCAAGAGCACAGAGGAAACCGACCAATTAGGTGTCCGCCCCACAAATGCCTGCACCATTCGATGGAGCAGCCAGCTGCGGATGATTCAGTCGTTCATCCGGTTGTTCCAAAAAGACCCGTTATAGCAAAACAAACTAAAGTCTAATGTTGCTAACATCACCCTGAATCAAGTACCGCAGCTGACGCACCTTGTCCGTGTGCTGACACCACTAGCAGACCTCACAGACAAAATGCAGAAGGAGCTGGGGAACCTGGGGATGATCCTCCCTGCTGTCACATAAATCAAATCCCTGCTCACCAATTACACTCACGCTGCACTTCCAATGGGCATCGCTGCTTTTGCAGAAACATTGGCAAACAACGTGTCAATTCGCTATGGAATATACTATACTGATTAACATCTCATTTTAGCGTCAGTGTTAGATCCCCGTTTCAAGACAGAATGGATAATCCGAGATGAGTCTGTATGCAACAAATTCGGGGAGATAAAGTAAGGCTGTGGTTTAAGCTAAAAGTGAAATACATGCAGATTTTGTTCCTTTTTTGGAGTGAGCGGGGGGCGATTTGAGTGGAGCGCGATAAAAACTGCGTTGAGCGCTGAGCGATAATGAGCGGACTGGCCTGATGTGGCTTTGAGCGGGGGGAGCGGAGGGGTGAACAACTCCGTGAGCGAGGAGCTGAGATTCTCACCGCTCCACTCCGCTCATATGCTCTGTCTGGTAATACCGTATACCCCGGTATGGTACAGAAACGGTATGAAAATCTGGACACCGCCCAACTCTAATAAGACTCTTACTCGTCTGCCTCTCCTTCCAGCAGTTGTTTCTGACATTAGACACGTAGTCCTCCTCCACGTTCTTCTCCAGCTTCTGCAGATTGGAGCCCTTGTACTCGGACTTGAAGTCTCTGTTGACGTAGTAATCTACACGCAGGTTCTCGGTCTGCCGTTTCACCGTCTGCCCTGTGGACCTGGAGAGGACAGGCATCAGTCAGGTTACATGTCGCTGTTCTGAGAACAGCTAGATCCACAGCTCTTTTCATGCATCATATCTTTATACCAGGTGAAGAGAGGAGGCTATGGGCATGATCATACACACACCAGAAATGTTTCAGTACTTTACTGAAGGTAAAGGTGTGTCCGTTACATACAGCATGCATCACCATTTGACAGTATTTTTCAGCACTGAGTGTGTGGAGCAGTGGTCCAGAATAAAACGTTTGTGTTGTGTTCAGCTGGGAGAAAACATTTTGAAAAGGAGTGGTACCACCGAAATGCGTGATGTGTCCAATAGGAACACAGATTTTTGTTTTCCGTTGCAAAACCTTTAAGTACCGTGAGCCAACTGAACACGACCCTAGTGTGTGTGTGTGTGTGTGTACGTACGGTCTGGAGTAGAGGCTGTAGGGGGGTGTGGACACCATCAGTTGGCTCAGGATGGACACCAGAATCAGTACAACGATGGGTATCAGCTGGATAAACATGGAGAACCCTCCCTGGACAACAACCCATTACAAATCATTAAACATATCAGTAAACACACACTATTTTGTCCTCTAGCTCAGTTGGTGGAGCATGGCGCTTGCAACGCCAGGATAGTGAGTTTGATTCCCGGGACCACTTATATGTAAAATGTATGCACGCATGACTAAGCCGCTTCGGATAAAAGTGTCTGCTGAATGGCATATATTACTATTTAATATGTAAAGACATGTACTGTCCTGTTAGTGACTTTGCACTTTTCCTGCTTTCCTATGCATCACACTGGAATTAACTAGAGCTCATCCCAGTCAAGACTGGAACAGTTGTGTCCTTCACAAAATTAGAGCCTGCAATATGCTGCCGAGACTCCCATAGCTGTAGAAGGGGGTCTGCTGGGGAAATCTGACCTGAAGTTATCCCAGACTCACTAGGTATTATATTGACAGTCACAGTATACAGCTGGCAGTGCAGATGCCAGACATACGTACCTCTCCCCTCTCCTCTGCTCTCTCCCGTCTTTGGTCCGTCTGCTGGCTGTACCGTGCCCTGCCGTTGGTGAATGTGTGGGCAGCCGCTGTGGAGAGGAGTACCCGGTTAGTGACTCTGCTAAGACTTGCAATACAATACTAATTTAATAAGCGTTCATGTTTGAGCAAGACAATTGTATTTAATTAATGTAATGAATTAAGACTTGTTTATTAAAACATTGGAGGCAAACTCTGGAACCCCGTAATGAAATTAACTTCAGGTGTATGTGTGTCTCTTACAAGAGGGGAATCCTCCTCCGAAGAACATGTTGAAGAGGTCCTCGGGAGTGATGTCAGCCTCGAAGCCTCGGTGGAAGTCAAACCCTTGGCCGTGGGCGTGGCCAGGGCTGGTAGGCTCCTCTGCTCCCGTGAGGTCATACTGCTTTCTCTTGTCCGTGTTGCTGAGCACGGCATACGCGTTGCCGATCTCTGTTAGAACCATAACAACACACACTCGTGTCAATAAGTGTCACACTAAGTCAGAGAAAAAGGACACCAGACATTGGCTCGGTTCCGACGCCCCATTTTACACTGATCTGCAAACTTCACATCGGGGGAATCCCAAAGAGACCCAGACATGGAAACTCTGCCAGTCCTCAATCTATTCCAATTAAATTAATGGCAGGTCAAATTAATGCTGCTAACAATGCTGGGGGGGGACCCGGTCCGATCAGTGAGGGAAGCAGAAGAAAAGTCATTTTTTAAGCTACTTTATTAACCTGAGCTGATAAAGCGTGAGAGAGCGAGCGAGAGAACAGTGCCGCTCTAGCAGGCGGGAGAGGGAGGGAGAGACAGCAACCAACCAAGCAGACTCGCTATAGAAGACTAATAGCTGCCATTGCTAGGTTATTTATCATCAAATATGAGTGCGTAGTGCCTGTCTTGACTGCATCAAACCGGGAGAAGCAAGTTAAGCTAGCTAACGTTAGCTAGCTAGGCTAACTGAGGCTGCAGTGCATGCGCTTTCTGATCCTACAGTTACAAACAACTCCATTCAGAATATTAAGTAGCAGCCTGCCTACCTGTTGGTACTCGGTCATTGTAGCCTATCCTTCTCCTTTAGCTCCATCATTCCATTGATTAGATATCTCCTAACTTTAGCCACACACAGCGCGAGGCTCTATGACTGTAGCCCATTGCCGCTTTGATGACTTATGATTGGCCAACAAGCTACAAATCAAACTTGTGAAAACAAGAGCAGCATAAATGATACAATTTCTCTCCCCCTCTCTCTCTCTACTGCAGCAGTCGCATTCGGATTTGTACCGTCCGGACAAGTCAGTTAAAATTACACATACCCAAGACCCGTGTCAATCATATCAGATCCAACCCAGACCTGTTACATTATTTAGAATTCTGGGTCCCGGAATCGGGTCTTGGGTACAGGTGGATCCGTGAACACCTCTAGTCTACACTACAGCTAAATGAGTGATTAGCCCCGAACACAAAAACAATGCATGCGAAACATCTTACTTTTGAAGGCCTCTGTGGCTCCGGGGGCTTGGTTTTTGTCTGGGTGGAACTTGAGTGCTAGTTTCCTGTAGGCTTTCTTCAGCTCCTCCTCATTGGCCTCCTTACTGATGCCCAGGACTTCATAGTAATCCTTACACCGCTTTATCCTGGAGGGAGAGATTGTAATAAACTATGGTGCTAGTAGTCCTAACACATCTTTATCCTTTAAGAGGTTACAGTGGGTCTGATTCATCAGGGCTATATTACACATGTAGCATACAGATATAGGCCTAGTTTATTACAATGCAGTGGATCGGATTCATCATGAGGGTTGTAGCACACAAATCAAATTTCGCCCAAGAGCAGGACAAAAACCTCTAATGGATATTTTTAGCTTCAAGAACTAGCATTTGGAAAGTTTAATCAAAAGACAGTACAGTAAGAAGATAGGCAGAAACTGCTTCTCCAATAGAAATCCTTGATCACACTTGTAGGTGATGTCATGGCGACGTTGGCTAGCTAAGCTCATGTGTAGAAACACGTCATCGGGTCTAACGGTTGCCTCGCGCCGAACTGTGCATGTGCAGGCCGTCAAATCAAAGGCACTCCTTCGATATAAAGTTGTTTTTGACGAAAATGTGTCAGTTTGTCACTTTCACAATGTTGGAGTAATAACATGGTCAACTACTTAAGACATTGTCTCAAATCTAGGTTGTGCCTTTAGATTTAGAGAAAATTAACAACTAAGGAAGAATTTTCATTTCTGCTCTGTTTCGCAAGCGTTCCCGGAAGTCTCGCGATGTTGCGCCTCTGGGGCTGCGTATCAATCTCAAAGTAGACCGCCCTCGGCCCCAAACCCTCAGCCCTTGAATGACGTTTTACATCGTCACATCCGAGTGTACCTTAAATGTCCTTTGCCCAAGCGAGGGCGAGTGATGATCGGAGAGGCAACGTCCTTGGTGGGAATTTTGAAGTTGAGCTTAAAAAACAACCAACCTAAAGCTATTAAAATGTACCTAGTAAGCTAACGTATATTTTATAGTTTGGTCATTTATTCCAATAGATTTCACAATTCCAAAAAATATGTTTATGTATTTAGCTACGTTTTATACACACAAAAAAAATGTATGCACGCATGATTGTAAGTCGCTTTGGATAAAAGCGTCTGCTAAATGGCATATTATTATTATATTATTATTATAGGCTCCTCACTATGAGACTAAGCCAATTTGCCAATGCTAAAATCAATATATATATATATATATATATATATATATATATATATATATATATATATAAGCAAGCTAGCTTCATACTTTTTTCTGACATGCCAAAAATTGACACTTTGCAGCCACCAGTTTGACATGTGACTACAGTTTGCATTGAATTGTGGGTCATATCAACCCCACAAGAGACCAACGTTGTTCACTCGCTCCCTCGAGCTAAATCGAGGGCTCAACGTTAGTGAATTGGACCTCCCCTTAAGATGGCAATCAAACTGCATCCGGTTTCAACAGGGATTCCCCCGAGGGAAAGTGGCTAGAGCAAGGGCTGAGGGGGTAAAAATAACATGTTTGGACTGCAGCCAGGGTTTAGAAAACTGTGCTCCTGGAGCACCATTTGAAACCACAAGAGGGCAAATCAACACTCGTGGCAGAACAGAGTTCAAACGCAATACACCGAGTCGATTGCATGACCTGCAGAAGAGATTGCCTCCAGTCTCCAAGGATAACCACATGAGATACTTGCCAGACATGTTACATTAGCATTCAATTAGAATAATCAAATATATAAACAATAAAATATGCTCTCGGATGTCACTCAGTGTACCTTTCAATTGAGGTTAAACCCTACGCTGCATGTAGGCCTGTTTTAACCCAAAACACAGGTTAGCCTCTGAACATATAAACAAATACAGCATCCTAGTAAACTAACATACTATCTGTCTAACGCTCTTCACAATGGGACTAGAAGTTGGTCAGGCCTACCAAGAACTATGTGAGTGTTGCCATAGCGAGATGTGTCACAGCTCTCTTTTGTCTCTCTCAGTCCCTCTCCCTTCCCCTCTCTCACTGGCCTCATGGGCACCTTGCCAAGTCCCAGAGGTTCCCATAGCGATAGCTGGGTGTGTAGAACACTGCGGAGACTGCAGTGTCCTCATTGAGCAGTTGAATAACGGTCCACACACACACACCATCAATGGGGCAAAGCCAACCACAACAAGCCATCCAAACAGCTCTGCCATGAAAGACTCGCATACAAATACACAGATAACTCTTCCGCTGTCATTAGCTAAGCAAACACTGCAAACCCAACTGCAAAATGTTGAGCTGAGTAAGTGTTTCAACAGCAGCCTTCTCTCATAGAACAGTAGAGATAAGTTTAGCCTGAGTACACCACACTAGCCTGGGGGATTATGAGTGCTACTGTAGGTCAACTGCAGGGTTAATTAAACGCAACATAAAGATGTTAGAGCAAACAAACATGGAGCCCAATAGAACCATCTAACTACAGTCAAACGACCTCGCTAGGGGAAGGTGGTGGAGGCCTAGGCTACACTTGGCCCAATATTAGAAACACTTCTGTTCACCAGAGACATCATTCGCTCGGAGCTCCCAGTCCCAGCCACCTCCCTGGCCTATGGGGACAGCAGTGATGCAACAGTGACACAGAAAGAGATGTGTTAAACAAGAACTCTCAGGGGAGATCATTCTAGAACCCCTCCCCCAAGGTTGGTATGACCCAGTGTCCAACAACAATCAGTGTCCGTGTCCAAAGACCCATACTAGCTTACTACATACTATTTAGCACGTACCGTTTAGTAAAAAGTGTGCCACAGCCGTAACGCAGTAGCGGCTCCTGATTGGGTGGGGCAGGCCGAATGCGGGTGGATTTTTCCAAATTCAACAGACATGCATCACATTAACCAGCCTGATAATAGCTCATTTCCAATTTGATTCATTTCTCTAAACAGGAATGGAGTTGTAGGCCTACTTAGGCTGGTTATAGGCAGACTATCACATTCAACCTATATCATAGTAGACCATGTAGCCCAGGGGTGTCAAACTCATTCCATGGAGGGCCTAGTGTCTGCTGGTTTTTGGTTTTTTCCTTTCAATTAAGACCTAGACAACCAGGTGAGGGGAGTTCCTTACTAATCAGTGACCTTAATTCATCAATTAAGTACAAGGGAGGAGTGAAAACCGTTTCCCATACAATAATCTGTACTCTTAATTGTTAGTTCCCCCCTCAAAAAAAAGTTTGTTTTGGGCGACTCCACTGACCCAGACTTTGAATACCACTTCTTTAAACCAGGATGGTCATCTGAACACAATGGATCGGTTACATCACTTGACTTTATATAATCCCCAGCAGGGATCTCCAACAGGTCGATCACTAGCTACCAGTGGCTCGCAGCCCACCTATCAGTAGCTCGCCAAACAATTCTGAAAGTACATGCAATTTTCACGTGTTCCACCGCCAACTGTCATAAACAAATCTCACAAGTATCAGACACCACAAGCTCCCAGCTACTATTTAACCAACGCAATATTGACATTATCCCACCCCCGGCTAGCCACTATTGGCTTAATTTTTTGTTTTAATTAAATGTCTGCCAATTAATTTCCAGCAATATTGCCTGTGTCTGTCTGTGTGGTGCGCACGTTTGTTTATCACTCAGTGTGTAGCCATTTGATGTGATATGATTTATTTTTTATGTATGCACTCACTAACTGTAAGTCGCTCTGGATAAGAGCGTCTGCTAAATGACTAAAATGTAAACGTTGTGTCGTGCAGAAGAACAGCCCTTAGCCGTGGTATATTAACCACATACCACACCCCCTTGGGCCTTATTGCTTAATTACTTTACCAGGTATATTGACAGAAAACATACTGCACTACTTTCTCTTGTACACTAAGGACCCGGGGAAGAGTCACAGGGGAGAGGAGAAGAATGGGCCTATTTCAAAGCTCAAAAATAAGTTGAAGCATGCCATATGTTGATTTTTTTTTTAAAGTAGCCCTGATGCTAGAAAAAGGTTATAGACCTCTGATCCACAGGCTAGTAAAAGAGTTTGTGCGGACATGGATTTTAGAAACCCAGGCATAAGGGTCTTACCATGATAAAAAGACTAGGGGATTAGGCTAGTAAGGGTTAGCTACTGTCAGAAGGTCAAGCATAAAGCACTGACTAATGGTCCCTCGATTGAGACAGACTGACACTGAGAAAGTGGGTTAGTTATTTTTGGTGTGTAGGATACACTTTCAGTTTCATCTAAAATATATCTGATTTGTGTGTTCAGAGAGCATGCTCACGTGAGGTGAGACGGATCCTTGTCAATTTCCTGTTGTGGGAAGAACCACCATCAGGTCATCATGTAACCTATGATCTATTTACACACAAGCAACAGTGAGGGAGAGGTGGGGGAATTTACAATCCACCATTTCCTCATCTTCACTTAACAGGTAGCCAAACGAAAAAGAAGAACACCCAAATGTGTCACAGTGTCAGCCTCCTAAATTCCCATTGATTGTAAAAACTCAGGGTCAAGTGATACCCACAACAACCCCAACCAGGCTGAAAGTGGCCCTCCCTCCCTAATCGCCACATGAGAACGCACCAGAGTGAAGCAACACAACTAGACACACAGGCCTGCCGTACCATATGGTCGTCAGGGAGGAGTGCAAGAGAGCGGAACAGACTTTTACACACAGATAGCCATTCCCAAACAGATTACGGGACTGAGCGATCAAGGGAAAAAAAAAGAAAGCAAAAGGTTCCTGCTCACCTCTGCACTCCCTCCACCTGGTCCTTGGTGAAGCCCTTGGTGCTGGGCTCGCCCCCTCCGGCCTCCTGGCCCTCCCCACCAGGCCGGGCCTTGGTGCTCTCCGAGGAGCTGTCTGTAGTGCGCTGTCTGCAGTGCGCGCCATTCCCCGCAGAGCTGCCGTTCCTCGTCAAGGTGTCCAACAAGGCTAGGAGGGAAGAGAAAGCGAGAGCGAGAGAGAGAGAGACAGAACGAGGCATGACGTGGCACATTCAGAAGGAGAGACAAAGCTAAGCACTTCGAAGAGAACTAACAGGGCCGATTTCCCAGAACCAGATTAAGACGGGTCCTCGACTAAAAAGCGGTCTCATTCTCAATCGAAAGTGTTTTTTTAGTCAAGGACTAGCCTTAATCTGGTTCCGGGAAACTGGCACTCAATCTTACATGGCAAAACACTAGGCTCTTGAAAGTCAGACTACCATGCGAGCGTACATCAGAGGTTCACACACCGAAACTAAGGTTACATTGTTCCCAGAATCCAGTTGGCTTCCATAGACGAGCTGTAGTGGAGATCTGGTCATGCTTCCATGAGAGCCGCCGGCGAATATATCCAGCTCTGGTTGCTCAATGAGAATGTGCTAAGCTTTTCCACCAACACAAAGCAGCTCTCTGTGTCTGTCTTCCCATGACCACTGCAGCAGCAGCCTAACCAACAGTCTGAGTATACTGCCCAGTGTTTCACTGTTCTCTCCGGTAGCACTTAAGCCTCTGCGATACATCGCTGCTATTCCTGTGAAAGCTTATACAGGTAACGGAGCACTATGTTTGATGGACACGGCGGAGGGAGAATAGTGACAGGTCGGGATAAGATACTCATCTTAATGGTTGAATAAGTAAATTTATTAATGCATGATACTGAACTGAAGAGGGTGGTGGTTTTTCTTCAATCAAGATGCAATCTTCTTGAATCCATATATTCTTCCTTGAAACATGAGTTTTTAAATAAATAATGAAATAAATATAAAAACGGAATATGTCCGATCTGGTTTTCCCTGGCCCACTGTCCTATCAGACCTTACCGTGGCCTGAGCTTAGCCCTGGCTAATGCTCTACCATTGTTCCCTCAGCTCTAGGTCAATCATTCAATTAAGGGATTGAGGTGGACAAGCCTGTTCATCTCACTAACCTCGTCCTGCACGAGCCACGTTAACTCCTCTGCTCCGACAGTGGAATCCCTACAAACTCCTTACCTTGTCCTGCACGAGCCATGTTACCTCCTCTGCTCTCAGTGGAATCCCCACAAACTCCTTTCCCTATAAATACCCTTCTGCCGAGAGCGTGAAACAGCCACTTTTCTATTTCTTTCCTTGATATTGAATACTGCATTGGTGAGGAAGAGCTTGCAAGTCAGCATTTCACTGTAGTGTTTACACCTGCTGTATCCCATGCACGTGACCCAAATCAACTTTGATTTGAGTGAGGCAAATAGGCTACTATAGTCATCTCCCCGGTGACCATTATAAAAAACACTCTTGAATCAAACCTTGAGTATTCAGTACAACTAAATATGCCTAGTGAATGTAAATGGTCATGTTTAACTGTATGATGTGACAGTTAGGCTAACAGGCGAATCATTGCTGTCAATTGTCACATAGCCAAGTGTTTAGCTAACAGAATGTGTTCTGTTTTATAAGACAAGTGGTAAGCTTAGGCTTTATTACAATATGGCTGCTGTGGAAATTGCCATCTACCTTCATAACAAGGTTAATAGGTACCCTTCTGCCTGACATACTAGCATTGACATAGGCCTACTATTCAGTTTATAACCCATGATATGTTACCTGTCACAGATGGCAAAAATATATATCATTTTAGAAGTTTTGAAATATGATTGGTAGCTGGCAGGCTGCACGATTGACCATAATGCAAGCAGCCGATTGCAAGCACACGATTAACTCACAAACATAAGTGTTTCATTACAGACAAAAACACTTTTAGGACAGACAAAGCAAGGAATTACAAAATATCACGGCTGCTGTGAGCAATAAGCAGATCAATTGATTATTGCCTGAGGTAGCTGTTAAATCATCATCATGCATCAATACAACCACAACCAGGCATGGCTTGTGGCAGGCTAGCTAGCCAAGTCCCTTACTAAACTAGTATCAAGCCTATATTGATACCAATTTTAAATTACATTTCTCTCATGAGGACACTGGAGACAACCCCTAGTTGGCTAACTTACTGGTGCATAGTCATCACTTGCTTAGTCAGTTGACCTTGTTATTGCGAAAGAAAAATACCATAAATTAGGGGAGATAACATCCCAGACTGGGAGCTTGGCTCCACTGACCACATAATGCAAAACTGAAATTGTTGGCAATCCAACATTTAGCTAGCTCATACTAGGCTAGCTAACGTTAGTAAATTATAGCTAGCTAATTGTACAAGTTAGCAATAGCATTGCCAGTTGGCTAGTTAGCATAGCCAGTCCACATTCGTCACTGGGCTAAAACAGAACTATAAAATGAAACATAGCTTGTCAATTGAGACATTCAACAGTGGATGATGTCAACCTTATCAAATCAACAAAATTGGCTAAGAAATGGCTAACGTCAACTAGTTAAAGACCTAGTATACATACTGTTAGCATGCTAATTAGCAATTTAAAGAAACGTCACTCTTCCTTCGCCGTGAGCAGTTTTTAAAGCGTCAATTACGTTAAGTTAACCATTTCATAATTTATTCGTTTAGGTATTATCCGTGCACTGCAAGTGACAACATTACAAGGCAAGTTGCCAAATCGTATTTTAAATCGATGTTTAATGTGTAACGGGCTAGCTAGAAAACGTCAGCTACGCTAGCTAACGTGGCTAATGAACTAAAATCTGGTAACGTAGAGATTTACCTTTCGCTTTGTAGGTTGGATAGAGCTTCTCTGCTTTATTTAAGAATTTCACCGCCTTGTCTTTGTCCCCTGCTTCAAGAGCTTTAGTTGCTATATTTATACATTTTTCTGCTTCGTCTCTGTTCCCTTCCATCTTTCTTCCTCCCCCCCGGCTCTCAGTTGACACTAGTAATGGGTCGTTCGCGAACGAACAGATCTTTTTGGTGAACGTCGGGAACCGAATCACATCGGTGAAAGAGCCGTTCATTTGGCTCCCTGAATTGCATACTGCTACTACTGCTTTTATATCAAGTTTTTGTTATTTCAATTCACAGGATTCATACAATACATTTATAGATTTTTTTTTAAAATCCTCCTTACTGGCAATCTGATAGCATTTGGCAATCTGATAGCATGTAAAATAAATGAGAGAAAAACTAATAAATATATATTACATAGTAAATCTACTGAACAATACATCATAGAGCTTCAGAAATAGTGACACATTATTGATACACATTCATGGATGTAAAGGCCCGTTGGTTAAGAGTTCAGAAATGTCCGCTGCTGCTTTTTTCCATGTGTCCAGAGTGGACACCCCGGCCCTGTGAATCCTGGTGCTGCTACTCCTTTTTGAGCTCAAATCTTTTTTTCTGCAGATAAATTACAAAATAATTATCTAAAGAGGGTGAATCTTCACTGCAGAAACAATAAAGTGGGAAGAGCGTGTCAATCTTGTCCACGCTGATTTTTTTCAGTGCCATCTAATAATTTGGCCAGGTAAAAATGTATTTGGAGGTGCGTTTCATGATCTGACATAATGGTAGCCTAAATTTTGGCCTTTACCTTGGAAATTAGCAATTTTTTCATGGTTCTAGTTCGATTTTTAAAGGGACATTTCTAAAATGTTAAACTTCATATTCATCATGTCCAGCACCGCACGTTTATATGTTTTGCAGTCAAAAAGATTGGAAACAGCTTCCTATGAAGTCAACCAATTAGACAATTAGTAGGCAATGCCTTCTCATAATTGGTTAAAATCATGACACACACCAATGATGTCACTGGAAACACTTACCTTCCTCTCATTTTCCAATAAACATAGAAACGTGCTGCCATTTTCACATATGTTGATGTTGGGGTGGTGCTGGAGATGAGTCTGAAGTAAAGAAATAAATACAAAAAAGTGACATTTCCCTTTAAGCATTTTAACGAAGAGCCGTTTGGGAGCAAAATGAGCCGGCTCTTTTATGTGAACGGAGTCGAATGAGCCGGCTCACCAAAAACACTCTTGAAGCATCAACGCAAAACACTACAAACACATCTGAGCGTTCGGAGCAGCACTTTCGTCAGTGATCCTCGGATGCTGCAATCATCCTGAACGCATACAGTGGGATTGTTCTGCATTTTTCAATATTAGAGCATAACTTCCAACCCACTGAGATATACACTACATTACTAAAAGTATGTGGACGCCTGCTCGTCGAACATCTCATTCCAAAATCATGGGCATTAATATGGAGTTGGTACCCCCTTTGCTGTTATAACAGCCTCCACTCTTCTGGGAAGGATTTCCACTAGATGTTGGAACATTGCTGTGGGGACTTGCTTCCATTCAGCCACAAGAGCATTAGTAAGGTTGGGCACTGATGTTGGGCGATTAGTCTTGACTCGCAGTCGGCGTTCCAATTCATCCCAAAGGTGTTTGATGGAGTTGAGGTCAGGGCTCTGTGCAGGCAAGTCAAGTTCTTCCACACCGATCTCGACAAACCATTTCTTTATGGACCTCGCTTTGTGCATGGGGATACTGTCATGCTGAAACAGGAAAGGGCCTTCCCCAAACTGTTGCCACAAAGTTGGAAGCACAGAATCATCTAGAATGTCATTGTATGCTGTAGCGTTAAGTTTTCCCTTAACTGGAACGAAGGGGCCTAGCCCAAACCATGAAAAACAGCCCCAGAGCATTATTCTTCCTCCACCAAACTTTACAGTTGGCACTATGCATTGGGGCAGGTAGCGTTCTCCTGGTATACGCCCAACCCAGATTCGTCCGTCGGACTGCCAGATGGTTTAACGTGATTCATCACTCAAGAGAACACGTTTCCACTGCTCCAGAGTCCAATGGCGGCGAGCTTTACACCACTCCAGACGACGCTTGGCATTGCACATGGTGATCATAGGCTTGTGTGCAGCTGCTCGGCCATGGAAACTCATTTCATGAAGCTCCCGACGAACAGTTCTTGTGCTGACCTTGCTTCCAGAGGCAGTTTGGAACTCTGAGTGTTGCAGACTACAGACCTTTATCTATTTTTATGCGTTTCAGCTGTCCCGTTCTGTGAGCCTGTGAGGCCTACCACTTCGCGGCTGAGCCGTTGTTGCTCCTAGACGTGTCCACTTCACAATAACAGCACTTACAGTTGACCGGGGTAGCACTAGCAGGGCAAAAATTTGACGAACTGACTTGTTGGAAAGGTGGCATCCTATGACAGTGCCACGTTGAAAGTCACTGAGCTCTTCAGTAAGGCCATTCTACTGCCAATGTTTGTCTATGGAGATTGCATGCATGGCTGTATGCTTGATTTTATACAACTGTCAGCAACATGTATGGCTGAAATAGCCGAATCCACTGATTTTAAGTTGTGTCCACATACTTTTGTTTGTATTTATATACACACAGTACCAGTCAAGTTTGGTAAGTGCTCAGCATATGTGGGAACTCCAATACTTTTGAAAAAGCATTCCAGGTGACTACCTCATGAAGCTGGTTGAGAGAATGCCAAGAGTATGCAAAGCTGTCAACGCAAAGGGTGGCTACTTTGACGCAAATATATTTTGATTTGTTTAACACTTTTTTGGATACAATATGATTCCATATTTGTTATTTCATAGTTTGTCTTCACTATTACTCTACAATGTAGAAAGAAAAAAAAAAACTGGAATGAGTAGGTGTCCAAACTTGACTGTTATATATATATATATACACACACACACGAAACATGTCAGTTGCATTTAGATTATACAGTAAACACGCTGTAACAGAGCAAACCTCTGATTTGGATTTGTGTACAGTACTACCAATGTCTGAATAGTAACAAAGAGAGTCCTCTGATAAAACTGACTGAACAGTTAGTTCGCTGCTCAGGGAACATAACAGTAATGTGCAGTTTGTAGGTGTGATGCATTTTGTTATTGAGATCTGACAGTGACAATAAATGTGCTCATTGTAGGATCTAATTGTCAGTGAGTTAATGGCAGACAATTCATTTAAAAAAAAAAAAAATCTCAAATTCATCCATTACAACGAATACGTTTTATTTGTCAAAATGTTTTGAGCAACCCATCACTTAGTACAATGACAGGTAAAATGTTGCAATACCATTGCACCTTCATATCCGCAGGTAATAAAGTACCATGTGTTCAAATGTAATTTAATTGGTTCAATATTAGCACACAATTAAAACAGAGCAGAACGTATAACAGCATAATTAGTATAAACCATAAGAGAACAGACAAACGTACAGGTACATGTCTTTACAGACTCAAATCATAGGCTATTCAAAAAATAGAGGCCAAATCCTAACTTAAGACCAAGTGTGTAGCTCACTTTTCTTGTAAAGTACTACTAATACTACATGCATCGATTACAATGGAAGATGTGCTTTAATGAGTTATGCGCTCAGATCTCAAGTCATGATTCAGCCCTACAGAAAAGGGTCAAATTCTCATATTGCAACATTTACATTTTAAGTGCAGGCTTTTTCTAAGTGTACTCTACCATACTATAATCAAGGCTCTTACAAGTCTGTACAACTCCATATCAAGTTAGAATGGACCCAAGACATTCAGCAATTCCACGTTGGCAGTAGCTCCTGTTACCTTAGCGTCCTCAAGCTGACGTGCGCTGGGGTGGAAGTTTGGCCACCGAGGTCCCCATTGTGTTAAGTGCAGCATGGATACGGAAGTGAAGCCTCGACTCCATGCTATAACCCTTGTAGTTCAGCCTGTAAACATCCAGATAAGTCTTAATAACATGTCTTCTTCATCCTAGGCAGTAAACAATGCATCTAAAGTAGTGCTGGTTTCAATAGACACTTACTTGGCATTTTCTATGGTGGTGGTAGCCTTCCCCAAGTCTCCTTGCTGCTTGTAGAGAAGACCCAGTTCATACATGCTGTATGGCACAAGGTAGAGGTCATGCTTGATCCTGTTTTCACTGTAAAAAACAAAAAACCACCACAACAAATCAGATTGTAAGAAAGCAAACAGATCAATTACATTTGGGATGCATCTCAATAGTCTTAGAACATGCTGGCATCTCGAGACTATTGAGATGAACCCCTGGGCTGCCCCCTGAGGAGCAACACTAACCACATTCCTAAATGATCAGTGAATGGCGATAATGGCCCCTTGTGAACTCTGACTGTCACTTAAGTGAACCTTTAGGCCATTAAAATGTAAACGTTTAATGGCTGCCCAGCTTCACCCAAAAAAATGGCACAATTAGACTAAATATAATGTCCTCAAGCTTGAAGTATAGAGATGCACAACTTCCTCTCGTATTATGGCTGAGCAATGCCTCCATTCTATTACTTTTTTACACACAAGCTAACTATTAAATTATATGAATGTGTATTGTCCATGTACACCCCACACAAGAAAATGAAAACATGACTAATAAGATAGCCGTACCTGGAGATGACGTGTGTGAAGCAGAGCTGGGCCTGGTCCAGATGGCCCAGGTGTCTCAGACACAGACCCTTTAGCATCTGGACCAGGCACTGGTCATCCACATGGTACTCTGATGGATCTGGGAGGGGGGGAAAAAAGAAAAACAATTATTCTGTATTAGACAGGGGCTGACAGACCAGAAATCAGCCCTGGCATTTCTACCACACCGGACCATAGATTAGACCTAGAGCATTGTGACGGTAAACTCACTTGGGTCATTCTTCAGTTGCTCCTCTGCTTTCTCGATAGTGACCAGAATGCTCTGTGTCAGTTCAGGCCTTTTGCCAACGATGGTGAAGCCGTTCCAAACATATATCATTTCCTGTTATGAGGAAAATGAATTTTAGACCTAAATAGCACATTTTAAAAGTGAACATGTTTGCTTTGAATGAAGTAAAAATAAATACAATTTTTAAAATAAAGTGTTCACCATGGCAGGAATCACCAGCGTCACTGGGGTTACGGCACTGTACCGCAGAGCCTTCTTCGCGGCGAACTTCTCAGTTGGGATGGATTTCCCTGCAATTCGCAGCCGCAGGCTCTCCACTTGCCTATAAGACACATTAAATTAGCCATAGCTACAAACCTTAACAACCCACCTTCTCATCAGTATGACAGTGCCTTTTGTTCAGTTTATGATTCATGTAAATTACATTTATGCTGTCCTGAAAATAGAGTAATCTTTTTTGGGGGGTGTGGACCTACTTTATTTTCAAGTTGTATAGTATCTTTGGGTGCCATACAAATAAAATGTGTCTTTATTGACAAAACATACCTGAACAACAGTTCCACATTCTCCCCGGTTTTCTTCACCTCCTCCTCTGGCATCATGCTGAGGATGGAAGCTTTCTGGAACACGTACATAGCCTGCCAAGAGAGACCAAAAGTCAACATTTCAAATGAAAAAAAAAGCGGTAGACAGTACACAGACCTCCAGGGAATTTACCAGTTTTATAACATGGGGGAGCTGTAAAGAGCAGGGAGGAAAGACAGTAAGCGATGGTAAAAAAAAGAGAGAAAAAAAAGCAAAGGGTAGAGGAGGCTGGGGAAGAAAGAGGAGAGGAGAGTTAAAACTCAAATTACTGGAAGAGGGCCCTTAATCTGTGACCGGGAAGTCATTCCTAAATGTTTTAGTTAGGCTGCTAGGGCGGCAGGTAGCCTAGCGGTTAGCGTTGGGCCAGTAACCGATAGGTCGCTGGTTCGTATACCCGAGCCGACAAGGTGAAAAATCTGTCGATGTCCCCTTAAAGCACTTAATCCTAATCTGCACCAGGGGTGTCGTACCACTATGGCTGACCCTGTAAAACAACACATTTCACTGCACCTACCCGGTGTATGTGACAAAACTACACCCAGGAAGTCAGTCCTAAATGGTTTTAGTCAGGCTGCTACAGGTGTACTATACCTGGGACCACTTGCTCTCTTTGCAGAGAAGGTCTGCATACTGGTAGGCCTCCAGCCAGTCCTGCTGGAAGGAGTATGACCACATAAGCTCCCAGTAACACAGATGGTGGATCTGACGCCACTCCTGCTGCGCCGCTATGCACTCCAGGAACTTCTTCTGGGCCTGGGGGGACGGATACACAAAACGGTGCGATATGGTTCTTGTTAGACAGAGGGCTTGATTTTATGACTTGTAGCGTAGCAGACGGGGTCATATTCATTAGGGCACGCCATAGCAAAATGCTTTGCAACAGAACCCAAGTGTTTCTCATTGGACAAGTTTAGGAAGTCTCTCCCAGTTTGTCTGTTTTCTTCCGTTTGGTACCTAATGAATACAACCCAGGAAAATGTATGAAGACACCATTCTTAAAAAGGGAGATTACTCACAAATTCAAAGTTACCCTTGAGCACAGCAATCCTGGCCTGGTAGAATAGAATGAGGGCCCCCTAGAGAACAACCACAGTCGATGTTAACGGGAGAGGGGGGGGGGGGGGGGGGGGGGGGGGGGGGGGGGGGGGGGGGCAAGTGGGAAGACTTTGCAGGAAGGGGACTGTTCACTTACATTGGGGAACTTCTCAATGTAGGGCTCCAGAAGAAGTTCAGCCTCTACCAGGTTCCCCTCACCAGTACCTATAGAGAAGGAAAGACAAGGCATCACTCAACCCTAATGTCTGTTGTAAAGTAAAACCCATTATCTAAGGCTGTGTTTACTCAAGCAGTCCAATTCTGATCTTTTTCACTAATTCGTCTTTTGACCAATCAGATTGGTTCTGAAAAAGATACCACAATTGGGCTGCCTGTGTAAACGCAGCTAAAGTCAATACAAATGGATGAAATGCTCGTCACATAAGAAACCAGCAGGAGACTGACTTTTTAAAGCACAGTGAAAGTGCGTGACTGCAAGAGTTGATGATCACAGTACTGCAGTAACAATGGAGCAGTTTAGACTTTTCACCACCAGAGGGCCTCCTTTATCCACATAAAACTCCAGTGGCCAGTGTGGAATTTGGGGAGTAGATCAATGTTGCGCCTGGACACAGGTCTTGGGACCTTTTTGGGTTTTCCCCAACTTACAGTTCCCAGGTTACGGTAAGGTTTCGGGGAGGGAAAGCTGATCCTAGATCTGTACCTTACCCAGTATGACGCTGATGTAGAGGTGGTACGTCAGGAGGCACATAGTGCTGAGGATGGAGCGCAGGCTGTTGCTGGCTGCCCCCTCCCTCAGCTGGGACAGACCCACTTCCTGCACAACAAGCCTCTGTCAACAACATCCACTTCATTGCATCGTCATTGGCTGAATTACGAGGCATAATGGTGAGTGAACTAAAGAAATGTATCATTTCAAACATTTACAGATTTATTATTTTCTGACATATGCAAGCACTCAGTCGTCGGGGAACAATAATTACTTTGCTTGTCTCTTGAAGGCCCGCTTCAAAAAAGACTCCCCACTGACTATCCAAGAGAAAAGGAGTATTTTGCAAGGCGGCCGGTGTGTGATGCGGCATAGTCTGTCAGTGAGAGAAGTGGAGAGACTACTCCTCGTCACCTACCCGGTCTCCAGAGAAACCCATCCACTCCAGTAGTCGGAGGACCTTGCTCGGCAAGAGAGACAAATACTGAAAGAGGAAAACCAAACGGTGAGGACAGAGTGACCTTTGAGAAGCACAAAACAAAAACCTTCTGTGTCAAAAAAAAAAATGGCCAATAGAAGATAAACATTCATAATTCGTAATCTTACATTTGACCGCTTTAGCGACTCTTACTAATCTGCCTGTCCTACCATCTTTGACCTCACCCATAATGCTGAGGTGCAAACACTAAACACCAATGCGCTTACCAAGTTAAATGAACCAATGCCCATGTTCACGCCGCACCTGAAGTGAGTGTGTGTGCTCATCTGGTCAGACTGGTTCTTTGCCATGGTTGACATAACTTCACATTCCCTGGTAGAGGGGAGAAAAAAAACAGGTATTCTGTTATTTTATTAGGATCCCCATTAGCTGTTGCTAATGCAGCAGCTACTCTTCCTGGGGTCCACACCAAACATAATGCAGAACATTAATAAAAAAAATATTTTTTTTTTTTTTTAATAGACAAGAACAGCTCAAGGACAGAACTACATACATTGAACTATGAACTTGAGTACAGTATGAACATTTTTTTTAGTCATTTAGCAGACGCTCTTATCCAGAGCGACTTACAGTTAGTGCATACATTATTTTTTTTCATACCCCCTGTGGGAATCGAACCCACAACCCTGGCGTTGCAAACGCCATGCTCTATCAACTGAGCTACATCCCTGCCGGCCCTACGCTGGACGACGCTGGGCCAATTGCGCGCCGCCCTATGAACCATGCAAGGTCCCGCAAAATACTTCACTGCCAAATGTGACCTTGCTAAAAACAATCACTGCTTGATAACATTTGATACATTTCCTTCTAGTGCATCAATTCTGTGAACACAGTCATTATTCTACTGGAAGCACAGGAGGCTGGTGAGGGGATGACAGTGGCTAATAATCATCATCATCTGGAATGGAGTGAATTGTATCAAACATATAGAAACCATGTTTGATACCATTCCAGCCATTACTATGAGCCAGTCCTCCCCAATTAAGGTGTCACCAGCCACCTGTGACTGGACTACCCAAACATAATACCCTTTTCACATTATCGAGTCAACCAGTTCATGCGTAACCAGGCCAGCTCAGTAAACTTGGTTTGGGTCAGTAGTGTAAAAAGCCCTTCAAATTTTTGTTTTATATAATAATAAAAACCCTGCCCACTTGTAGATCAGAAAGCTGTTGCGGATCTTGATGCCTCCTTTGATGAAGCTGATCATGCTCTCGTCCAGAAAGGTGAGTGCAGCCTTCTGCATTAGCACCTCAGCATAGCACAGCTCTGCATGCATCTCCTCTGCAGTGGGCAAGGAGCAAACCAAGAGATGCCCGTCAGTCAAAGACCAGAATAAACCCACCTACATTTAAACTAATGTGGATGTAGTATATGTACACAGTGCGTTCAGAAAGTATTCAGACCACTTCCTTTTTCCACATTTTGTTACATTGCTTTATTCTGAAATGGATTGTCTACACACACCCCCATAATGACAAAGCGAAAGCAGGTTTTTAGAAATTAGCAGAAAACAGAAATACCTTTATTACATACGTATTCAGACCCTTTGCTATGTGATTCGAAATTGAGCTCAGGTTTCCATCCTGTTTCCATTGATCATCCTTGAGATGCATCTACAACTTGATTGGAGGCCACCTGTGGTAAATTCAATTGATTGGACATGATTTCAAAAGGAACACCTGTCTATATAAGGGCCCACAGTTGACAGCGCATGTCAGAGCAAAAACCAAGTCTTGAGGTCGAAGGAATTGTCCGTAGAGCTCCGAGACAGGATTGTATCGAGGCACAGATCTGACGAAGGGTACCAAAACATGTCTGCAGCATTGAAGGTCCCCAAGAACACAGTGGCCTCCATCATTCTTAAATGGAAGAAGTTTGGAACCACCAAGACCCTTCCTAGAGCTGGCCGCCTGGCCAAACTGAGCAATCGGGGGAGAAGGGCCTTGGTCAGGTAGGTGACCAAGAACCCGATGGTCACTGACAGAGCTCTAGAGTTCCTCTGTGGAGATGGGAGAACCTTCCAGAAGGACAACCATCTCTGCAGCACTCCACCAATCAGGCCTTTGTAGTAGAGTGGCCAGACGGAAGCCACTACTCAGTAAAAAAAGGCACATGACAGCCCGCTTGGAGTTTGCCAAAAGGCACCTAAAGGACTCAGATCATGAGAAACAAGATTTTCTGGTCTGATGAAACCAAGATTGAACTCTTTGGCCTGAATGTTAAGTGTCACGTCTGGAGGAAACCTGGCACCATCCCTAAGCACACAGCCACGACAACGCAGGAGTGGCTTCGGGATAAGTCTCTGAATGTCCTTGAGTGGCCCAGCCAGAGCCCGGACTTGAACCCGATTGAACATCTCTGGAGAGACCTGAAAACAGCTGTGCAGCGACGCTCTCCAGCCAACCTGACAGAGCTTGAGGATCTGCAGAGAAGAATGGGAGAAACTCCCCAAATACAGGTGTGCCAAGCTTGTAGCGTCATACCCAAGAAGACTCTAGGCTGTAAATCGCTGCCAAAGGTGCAACAAAGTACTGAATACCTATGTAAATGTGATTTCAGTTTATTTAATAAATTAGCAAACATTTCTAAAAACCTGTTTTTGCTTTGTCATTATGGGATCTTGTGTGTAGATTGATGAGGAAACAATTTTTCTGAATACACTGTGCATATATTATCATTTTGTTTTGCTACAGCAAATAGTGTTTTATAAGCCCATGTGGGCTGGGCATCTGAAGATCCTGAAGATGAAGTATGATGACCCTAATAATAAAATTAATCAAACCAATCAAAAGTCCATAGTCATGAAACATGTATACTTCAGTATGGATGACTCACACTACAGTGAGTTTTCATAGTCATGCATCATACTACATGTACAGATGTCCAGTTGTCGACATACTGATATCATCCTGCAAGCACCACAACAGATACGGTATGCCCATCTCACCTTCAGTTAAGTTGTCAGTTGGCTGCTTGTAAAACATCTCAGTGATGGCCTCCACCATGGTAGTCTTCCTCCGGAACCTGTGATGAGATAACGCACTGTGTTAAAGCTAGAATCCTTAGTTGCTACAGCCACCTGTGTACACAGCGATTGATTTTTGAAGAATATAACGCAGATAAATGCCTCATGGGCTTAGTTTAACTGTTCATACCCCATCAGAACCAAAAATATAAGCTTGGTTTACGCCAACGTTCGTAAACAATGTAAATGTAAACAAACAGCCTCAAAACTTTAATTGTTATATCATGGCTGGTCAGTCCTTGCATCCATAGTTACATTGCTCCAGGTCCATCCTTCAGCTTTTTACCAAAACAGAGGCGGGGTGACCTCTTTGCTAATGTTTCGATTTAGGACTCTAGCTTTAAGTCCTGCCATGGCGCAACAATGTCTGAATCTGACGTGTGAGATTAAGCTTCTTCAATGCATTGGCAATTGAAAATCCATAGAACTAGATGCCCTACATTCATGTCATTTCTGTGAGAGAAGCAAAACCGTACATCTGGCACGTCTGCAGAGACTCCTTCAGAGCAGTCATGGCCTTGTCAATGTCCTTGGGTTCAAAGGTCATGCCCGCCTGCATGACCAGCATGCTGCTGTAGCCCATTGCGTGGTACATACTCTGGCTCCTCCTGAGAGAACATGACAAAACCCTTCAGAAAGAGAAGAAACTCTAGAAGCAATTATTCACTATTATAGACAGACATGAGCTGTTATCTCAAAGGATGTGATGCCTCAGGTCCTCCCACACGCTACTGTAAGCCTCAAGGCAAGCTATCATGATTGTGAATGGGACATACCAGGGTCTGAGGAGAGCCAAGGCTTCTGAGAAGCGGTTGTTGAGGAAGAGGTCAAGGGCTTTGGCGCCATCCTGCAATGCAGTCTCTAAATCCATCTGGGATTTCCTGGGAAGGGAAAAATAGAAGTTTAAAGGGTTTTTGGAGGCCAATGGGTTGGGGTCAACTTCATTTTTGGCACACATTGGGCTAGCATGATTTATAAGGAGCTAAGGGGTCATCAAAGATTGCGTAAGCTTGTCAGACCCTCCATCTGGGGCATTTTCATTAGTGGCAGACAGTGGACTTCCTAAGCAACAAGGGAACAAACTCCCAAACCACACCAAACTGTACAAACCACTCTTGCTAGAGTTGAGAATTTAGCCATTTTAAAGCATGTTTCCTGTAATTCAACACACTCTTCCACATCTTGTGTGTTTATATGATACCAGGGGTCGAAGCACAACAGAGTTCCTAAAAAAAAACTGGATTGCAGTCCACCAGTTGAGTATGTGGGCTATAGCAATCACAGCATGCAGCAGACAGTATTAAAGATCTATTTAGACAACACAATCTTAAATGTGCCTACACCAGCTGAGATGTGTGCTGTAGGCATTAATACTGTAACTATGGTTACAAGGCTTATGGACTTCTGATAACTATTTTACATAAGAGGGAACATCTAAAGCAGTGTATAGCTTAGCCTCGTGAAGTAGGGGACTTACATCGTTTCAGGCACCAGGAGAAAGAGATCCTCTGGGTCCATCTGAAAGTCAGGGAAACCTAGTTTATCAGCTACGCAAGGAGCCATCATTTCCAATCCTTACACTAGCGCGCAATACCTGACTGAGAAGGGTACATGCAGAACTGTGCCTAGCCAAACTGCGCCTAGCCAAACTGCAAGCCCTCTGGCTGCGTTTTTAGGGGCAGCCCAATTCGGATATTTTTTTCTACTAATTGGTCTTTTGACCAATCCCATCGGAGCTTTTCACACCAGCTCTTTTTCAGAGCTGATCTGATTGGTCACAGGCCAATTAGTGAAAAAAATATAAGAAATGGGCTGCCTGTGTAAACGCAACCTCTGAGAATCAATCTAAACGCTACAGCAGTGCCTTTATTTATTTGTCTTCTTCTTTGGTATAGCAGTGCATTTGTCACAGGTGTGACTAATTTACCAATTTCACAAAGGGAATATAAGCAATGCCACCGATGTTTCAAGTCTTGAGGGAGCGTGCAATTGTCATGCTAACTGCAGGAATGTCCACCAGAGCTGTTGCCAAATAATTTAATGTTAATTTCGCAACCATTAGCTGCCTCCAACGTCATTTTAGAGAATTTTGCAGAATGTCCAACCGACCTCACAACCGCAGACCACGTGTAACCACACCAGCCCAGGACCTCCACATCTGGCTTCTTCACCAGCTGGATCGTCTGAGACCAGTCACCCAGACAGCTGATGAAACTGAGGAGTATTTCTGTCTGTAATAAAGCCCTTTTGTTGGGGAAAAAAAGTGGCACCCAAGTGGGTGGGTCCCTGCCCGGGTCCCTGCCCAGTCATGTGAAATCCATAGATTAGGGCCTAATGCATTTATTTCAATTGACTGATTTCCTTATATGAACTGTAACTCAGTAAAATCGTTTAAATTGTTGCATGCTGCGTTTATATTTATATTTTTGCGCCCCAAAATTACGATCTGCTTCTCTGGATTGCCTTGTGGAAGTCTAACACTGTAAAATCGTATTTTGTAAATTAGCTAGCCATGTTGGCAATATAACACGCTTTCAAATGCCCACCTGACCAGATTGCGATTTAGAATTGACCTTTTTGGAATGCCTAAACAGCAGTAATTGTGTGATGGTGGGGATGCAAGGCTGTGTTCCAAAGAAAACAACTACAAGTCTTCTTGCTCTAGTAGCTCCTCAACAGCACAGCTAGGAGAGCCCTATTGGTATGAAAATGAACAACTGAAAAACTTGCTATTTAGAGCATTTCCCAAAAATACATGTATTTTTTTGGGGCTTCGAAGATAATAACAATTGTAGGCTATAATAAATGTGCATTGTCATGCAGTGACAGAATGATAATTGAGATAATCCAAATAATTAATGATTACCTAGTTGGGCTAACTTTTTTAACTTCTTGCCGTAGGCCCACATCATCATCCTCTGCCTTCATCCGTACTTGTCACCAACCTGCCTCTGGTATAATGCATTTTCACCTTTCACTCTATCAGTCTTGTTCGTCCATCTTCCTGAATTAATATGAGATATTCTAACAGATCAATCGTGCTGGCTAAACGTCATTAAATATTGCTAAGTTATTTAGCTATAGTGTGGATGTAGGGCTGTTTTTTCTATATAATGAGCACCCAGATGCTGCGTAGGCAACAATAATATCAGACAGAGAGACAAGCTGGCCTGGTGAAAAAGTTTCGCGGGCCGCCTCGGTGTTGGCTACTATATTGCAATATAAATCTTCTCGGAGCAGTCTTGTTGATACAACATTTTGTAATATTCGCATAATGTGTCCCTTCCTTGGCGAATAATGCAGACAGGCAAATACAAAAATGTGCTTATAAGGAACATCTCTGAATGCAGAGCAACAATTTTGGTGGGAAGCGCACAAGACAATGATACTGTCATTGTACACGGTATGCGCCGTTCCGCAAGGGTGACTTCATGTAGCAGGTTGTCTGCAACCTTTTTCATATGCGTGACAATTTACAATGTATCCTACAATTTCTAAAGATCTGCGTGCCAGTTATGATTTTCATATAAGCATTGTAGGCTACTCAACTGTGCCCAGAAAATGTCTGACTTCCCACAAACTGAATAGCTTAATTCTAGCTGGCTACTGGACAGAGACGCTGTCCATTCAGCCACAACCCACGGAGCTCCACCGTGCCTACCTGTACCGAGGCGCTGTCCATTCAGCGGTGCTGAATCATGGGCACGGCCTTTATGTGTAGATTTTTCTTCATTCCTTGGTCGAGTTTGTTTGTCTTTATGCATCCTTGTCAATTGTAGGCCTAAGTAATTCATTTGATGTATGCCTTTTATTTCAATTCATGTGTAGGATTTATCTGGCATAGTTTGCATTCGCAGTCAGATGTTTTATGCTCTGGTTCCTTTCACATTGATGTGAGTATTTGAAGTCGGCATTGATAGCGTGTATAATGCATCTATTTCATGTTGCACTGTATGAATTGTTCCATAAGTAGGCTAAATGAGTCAATGTAGCCTATGTATGATGAGGTTGAGTAGGATATTGTACACGCCATTCCACAGACCTTTAAACCTAATATAAACCTAATATTGGGGTGATAATGTCTGGGGGACATTTGTGTTTGTTTTTGCTGTTTCTCCAAATAGCATTTTAGAGTTTCAATGAGATTCAACTGGTGAGTGTATTTCTACACACTTCACTTTGCCATACCCTAGGTTAAGGGTGCACTTTTACCACCCTGTGAAATTCATCATAACTTATTTCATCTGTAGCCTATAAACTGCATGGTTTACCGAGTGTTAGTGGGAGGACAACACACCATATCATCCCCTGACTCCACGTTTACTTGGATATGGTGGTTATTATATCAATATTTGCGCATAAAGGCGTTTCCAATGCCATTTCTCGCATAATGAATTTTATGACACAAAAAGATCCCACCATGTCCAACGAACAAATGAGGCCTATCTGTCTGCATTCATAAAATTGTACCGACACTTCCTATTTTCATCACAGCTGTCTTTTAACCAAAAAAAATTATAAGGTAGCCTATGACTTTACTAGCATAAAAACTGGGGATGGAAACGTGGTTAGTAAGGTAGCCCACTTAATTGTTACGCAGAAATGATTTGATATTGAGATTAAAACGGTTGCATTAGACCTTTAAGAACAACAAAGCAATGTAGCTATTAGGACCAAATTACCCTTTCCAACTCTAAAGTAATGGGTGTGATGCTATACAAAAATAATATTTAATGCTTCTATAGAAAGTAGGATTAGGTTTAAACATTTTAGATTTGTTTTGGTCAGTCCCATGATAGCAGATTATTTTTGTGAAAATACACAAAATACCAAAACAAATAATATCATGACATTTTATCCATAGAAGGGTCCTTTGGAAGAAGGATTGTTGACATGTATTTGACATTGTTATTGAAAATTGTATTGAAATGTAACCACTCTCAAATTCATGGACAGATCTACAAGGACTGACCATCAATGATATCAAAATCCCAGATTTCCCCTTTAAATAAATGTAGTAGGCCTATTGAACGTTCAAATAAAAAATAAGTAAAAAGGCTAAAAGCGTCTTACCTTTTGGATGTTCCTATTCTTCACGTGAGCCATGTTTGACACCTTTATAAAATAGCCTACTGAATTATGCCCGGTGGGTTTCGTAATCAAGGACACACCCACCTAAGTCACAAGGCAAAACTCATCCCCACAATTAGCCTATGCTAATGAGATGCTTCTACTGTTTGGCGTGTTTTGCCCCGGCTGAAAGTTGATTGCATTCAATTTGGAACCTGGCTGCATCCCGGGGCTGAGCCGGGTATCCCATTCTGTCCAACCGCTAAATCGGCGCAAAACAAAAGTGACGTAATTAAGCACGTGTAGAAATGATTAGGATTCTGTGTTTTCCCATGCAAAAGGTCCTCTGTAGCTCAATTGGTAGAGCATGGCGCTTGTAACGCCAGGGTAGTGGGTTCGATCCCCGGGACCACCCATACGTAAAAATGTATGCGCACATGACTGTAAGTCGCTTTGGATAAAAGCGTCTGCTAAATGGCATATTATAAAAGTGCTTGCTTTTGATAAAAACGCTTTATCTGCCTTCCCAATGAAAACTAGTTATGGAAATAGATGTTGTATGTTTCTAGACAATGCGCCATGTTGCCTTGTTGACAAAATGACCAAGCGGCGCAGATTACTGTTCGATTTGAGATGGGCGCTCCTCCCTCCTCACTTTCGCTGGATGACGTAACGGGTTTTTGACTGGTTCAACCCGGGCCACGGTAAAATAACTCCCACAATCTGTAGTTTACCTGGTATTTTCCTATCTCGAGACACTACATTTCCCAGCGTTCCCTAGGTATTTTTACGTCATTTAGATGAAAAAATGGCGGCGGGCAGCAGCTCAAACGTGAACGAAAATATTCCCGTTTTTGAATATAAAGACATAAACACCAAACCATTCCACGTTGGCTCATTCAGAACCGCATGGCTTGAGAAATTGAAACCAACTGACTATTCCTACGAGGAAAAATACGAAGAGACTCAAGATGCCGACTTTGCAAAGGAGATGGGAATCGCACCAGAAACGTTGGATGAACTGAAAGTTATCTGCAGGTTTGTACAGTAAGGGTTAGTTATACATGTATTTGGGACACTAGCTAGCTGGATAGCCATTGTGTCAGTCTAGTTGACAAGCAGAAACTTCTCAATATGCTAGTTATCGTTTGTCAATAATAAGATGTTTGGTGATGAACTTCAGAGTCTGTAGTAGTGGACTAGGGATATAATTTAGGGGGGCAGGAAGGATCTTCCCTTTGTTTTTGTTTTGTGACCCATTTTAGAATCTTGGTCAAAACTAGTTGTATCAGAGATGGTTTTTATAAAGTTGAGGTTCAGACTTTTTGCTGTCAAATTACCTATATTTGTTCCGTAATCTTCACATGGTCGATTTTTTTTCCAGCATTGACAATCTTCGCTGTCAATCTGAAGAGGAGCCCCTTGACACCAACGTTGTGCCACCTGACCCCACTCTGCAAACACTAATGTCAAACATTACAACATTTTACTGTCATTTTACTATTCAAATTACATCCTAGACCATTTAGACATAATGCACCAATTCCATGTTCTGCAGATAGATACTCAATCACTGCATTAAAAAAGTGTTGCCTTGTTTGTGTTCTGACAGACAGAGAAAGAAGAAGCAGGATTACAAAGACACCCTGAGGATCGATAAGATAAGCAGAGTTGACCACTACCAAGATGAACTGGTGAGTTATACCCCGTGAAAGTAACCACCCCTTCCGCTTTACTTCCGTGGGCTTGACGATTATATAATTGTAAGTAATTTAAGATATATAAACTTATATTCGTGTTTGAGGATGAATTTACTTCTACCGGGTGTTTGCGTCGGAGACCAGTGCGTTACATTTTTTGTCCATTGAATACCATTCAAAAAGCCTACAAAAGTTCAAAAACTTCAAGGCTACTTCTTGGAAAAACGCCGCGTCACTTGCAAAGAGTATAACCTGTTGATGTGACCTTTGACTTGTAGCGTGACTGACACCCAGCAGTCTACACACCCAGACCCTTGGGTCATATTCTTCAGTTTGGTGCCTAATGAACATGACCCACAAGAGCTAAGATGGGCTGTTTTTAGACATTTGATTGACTTGTGTGTGTGTGTGTGTGTTTTTGTTTGATCTTCTAGGAGAGCCTAGCAGTGGGTAAAAGGCCTGAGGACCTTGTTGACTTGGTGCCAGAAGGGGAGATCATTTTGAGCATCAACGTTCTCTACCCAGCCATATTTGAGAGAGTACGTGCCGTTTCACTTCTTCGATGCCAAGTCTTTGTTGGAATTTTCAACTTTTGGTGATTCTCACAATCTCCATCATTAGACACAACAATATTGCCTATTAATATAATTTATACCATGGCATTGTTGAATACTTGTTTCAGTTTGGCTTGAAAGGCATTCTAGAGCGTGCATTATTTCCCTATAACGCACGTTATATCAGCACGGTAGAATGTTTTTGTATCCATTGTGTGGCCCTCTCTGCTCTCTTCCAGTTTAAGTATGTGAGGCCCCACATGACCTTTCAGATGCTGGGCTCCCATAGGCTGGTGGACCTGAGGGACGCTATCTGCTGTATCAGCGACCTGCAGGTCTTCGGAGAGTTCAGCAACACGCCCGACATGGCACCGGACTTCATCAGCAAGGTGACACGCGCACACACAAAGAGATATACTCACGCTCAAACCATACTATTGTGATGGTAGGTGGGTGCTTATATTTTCCTGTTTCACACATGTACAAGTGTGTATTATATGCATATGTGTGAAATTGAAATGTGTTTTTTGCATATCCCAACTCCCCCTGAGACACCCTCGGAAAGTGGGGTCATGCCCAGGGTCAGCGGCGACCCTGGAGCAATTAGGGTTAAGTGCCTTGCTCAAGGGCACATCAACAGATTTTTCACATTGTAGGCTCGAGGATTCGAACTAGCGACCTTTTGGTTACTGGCCCAACGCTCTAAAGGCTAGGCTACCGTCGGAATGTAAATCTATAGTCAGTAGACAGTTCGTCTTAAATAGTCGACCCTTACATCACGAGCAGTGCACAACAAACTAATACATCCAATTGTTAGATGCTACCACCCCACTTCCAAATCAAAACCAAACATTTAGTAGATGCCAGTAGATTTCTTGTGCACTGCTCGGTGATGTAAAGGACAACTTTTCAAGAAGAACTGTCTACTGACTATGGATATACAGTACATTCCGATGTGGAACACGTGCTGCTTCACAGGTACAGTCATTGATTGTGAGTCTTGAACACATTTGCTATGGCATACGATTAGACCACATTTTATTCATACATTAGATAATAAGGAGGTGTACGTTTGGGCTACTCAGCCACATACTCAGACACCCTCATAGAGAAAGTATAAGCCTACGTAATAGGACTTGATCATCATGTTGGTGTTGGGTGAACCTTTTCACTGTCTGTTTCAGGATCACTTCAAATCCGCCTTCTTCTACTTTGAAGGGGTCTTCTACAATGACATGCGTCACCCTGAGTGCCAGGACATGAGCGAGTAAGTGTCTTTCTTGCTCTCTCTTTCTCGCTTTTGCTTTCTCTGACATCTATCTGTCATCTCCATCATCCCCTCTCGCTACATCTACTGGACTGACTGAACCATCATCCCCTCTGGTATCTACTGGACTGACTGAACCATCATCCCCTCTGGTATCTACTGGACTGACTGAACCATCATCCCCTCTGGTATCTACTGGACTGACTGAACACTTCAGACTAGGCTAACTTGAACTCTCACCTTAGCTGATCCTGCTGACTCTACCGTAGACTGCCATTGAATTAAAATTGAGAGAACATCCGTGGAAATGGGCCCGTAGAAGCCAGGGGGTAACCCGAAAAAGACAAAACAGGCTTGTTATATTGCAGAGACAATGCTGTAGAGAGTGAGAGGTAGGGGCAGATCCGCATATTAGGTTACATCAGGACAATACTTTTTTCAGCCATAGAACTTTATATTGGACTGGAGATGAGGATTTGGGGAGGTATTAGGTGAAGAACATTGCATTCGGTTTGCCTATCTATGACCCAGACACAACTCTATGGCTGGGTTAACCTTGGGGATGTGACAGCGGAATAAACAGAGATGTGTTAGATTATAATGGGCCACAATCCAATTCATTAATATGCCAAACCAGGCCACTACAAGACCCATTGGAAATTAGAAAATGATTTCTACGTGCTCCCCTCTCATCCACTTAGCATTTGATTGATGATGAACTGGAAACAACCTTTAAGCCAGAGTATAATCAAAACTATTTTCTCAGACAAGGCTAGTAGAAAGCATACTGAACAAAAATATAAACACAACATGTAAAGTGTTGGTCCCATGTTTCATGAGCTGAAATAAAAGATCCCAGAAATGTTTCATACACACAAAAAGCTTATTTCTCTAAAATGTTGTGCACAAATGTGTTTACATCCCTGTTAGTGAGCATTTCTCCTTTGCCAAGATAATCCAATTGTTAGGTTTTAAAATAAACAGAGTAAAACTCACGCAAGACTAGGAAAAGCTCAAACCAAGTTTATTCACCCAATGGGTCAAACAGCTGAAAATACGTTTACACAAGCACATACAGTACCAGTCAAACGTTTGGACACACCTACTCATTCAATAGTTTTTCTACATTGTAGAATAAAAGTGAAGACATCAAAACTATGAAATAACACATATGGAATCATGTAGTAACCAAAGAAGTGTTAAACAAATCAAAATATATTTTATATTTGAGATGCTTCAAAGTAGCCATACTTTGCCTTGATGACAGCTTTGCACACTCTTGGCATTATCTCAACCAGCTTCATGAGGTAGTCACCTGGAATGCATTTCATTTAACAGGTGTGCCTTGTTAAAAGTTAATTAGTGGAATTTCTTTCCTTCTTAATGCGTTCGAGCCAATCAGTTGTGTTGTGACAAGGTAGGGGGAGTATACAGAAGATAGCCCTATTTGGTAAAAGACCAAGTCCATATTATGGCAAGAACAGCTCAAATAAGCAAAGAGAAACGACAGTCCATCATTACTTTAAGACATGAAGGTCAGTCAATACAGAAAATGTCAAGAACTTTGAAAGTTTCTTCAAGTGCAGTCGCAAAAACCATCAAGCGCTATGATGAAACTGGCTCTCATGAGGACCGCCACAGGAATGGAAGACCCAGAGTTACCTCTGCTGCAGAGGATAAGTTCATTAGAGTTAACTGCACCTCAGAAGTTGCAGCCCAAATAAATGCTTCAGAGTTCAAGTAACAGACACATCTCACCATCAACTGTTCAGAGGGGACTGTGTGAATCAGGCCTTCATGGTTGAATTGCTGCAAAGACACCACTACTAAAGGACACCAAGAAGAAGAAGAGACTTGCTTGGTCCAAGAAACACGAGCAATGGACATTAGACTGGTGGAAATCTGTCCTTTGGTCTGATGAGTCCAAATGTAAGATTTTTGGTTCCAACCGCTGTGTCTTTGTGAGACGCAGAGTAGGTGAACGGATGATCTCCGCATGTGTGGTTCCCACCGTGAAGCATGGAGGAGGAGGTGTGATGGTGTGGGGGTGCTTTGCTGGTGACACTGTCAGTGATTTATTTAGAATTCAAGGCACACTTAATCAGCATGGCTACCACAGCATTCTGCAGTGAAACGCCATCCCATCTGGTTTGCGCTTAGTGGGACTATCATTTGTTTTTCAACAGGACAATAACCCAACACACCTCCAGGCTGTGTAAGGGCTATTTGACCAAGAAGGAGAGTGATGGAGTGCTGCATCAGATGACCTGGCCTCCATAATCACCCGACCTCAACCCAATTGAGATGGTTTGGGATGAATTGGACTGCAGAGTGAAGGAAAAGTAGCCAACAAGTGCTCAGAATATGTGGGAACTCCTTCAAGACTGTTGGAAAAGCATTCCAGGTGAAGCTGGTTGAGAGAATGCCAAGAGTGTGCAAAGCTGACATCAAGGCAAAGGGTGGCTACTTTGAAGAATTTCAAATATAAAATATGTTTTGATATGTTTAACACTTTTTTGGTTACTGTGTTATTTCATAGTTTTGATGTCTTCACTTTTATTCTACAATGTAGAAAATAGTAAAAATAAAGAAAACCCCTTGAATTAGTAGGTGTGTCCAAACTTTTGACTGGTAGTGTATATTTATACCCTCTTTCTAGGCGGAGACTCCTCCTTGCACATCTGGACAGCCAATATATCTCTCTGTTGCTAGGCAGGAACTCGAGTGGCAACTGTTCCTTCTCACTTCGTCTGACCTGACCTCGGCCCGCATTCCTCACTCCTCCCTAACTCAAGACTGTTTCCCTTCTCCTCTCCATAGGATACATGAGATTTAACAATAACATGTTCTGACAGAATGTAAACTTTCTGCCCTCCCCTTCCTCACTCAGTAACTTTCCATACACCTAGTTCTTATCCACCCTCCATTGTTCTAATATGGTAACATGAATAAGGATATTTCAAGTTAGAACCCAACATCATCCACCTGACAGGTGTGGCATATCAAGAAGCTGATTAAACAGCATGATCATTACACAGGTGTACCTTGTGCTGGGGACAATAAAAGGCCACTCTAAAATGTGCAGTTTTGTCACACAGCACAATGCCACATGAACGTTTTGAGGGAGTGTGCAATTGGCATGCTAACTGCAGGAATGTCCACCCGAGCTTTTGCCAGAGAATTGAATGTTCATTTCTCTACCATAAGCCACCTTCAACGTCGTTTTAGAGAATTTGGCAGTATGTCCAACCGGCCTCACAACCGCAGACCACGTGTAACCACACCAGCCCAGGACCTCCACATCCGGCTTCTTGACCTGCGGGATCGTCTGAGACCAGTCACGGACAGCTGATGAAACTATGGGTTTGCACAACCGAAGAATCTCTGCACAAACTGTCAGAAACCGTCTCAGGGAAGCTCATCTGCATGCTCGTCATCCTCACCAGGATCTTGACCTGACTGCAGTTCGGCGTCGTAACCGATTTCAGGAGGCAAATGCTCGATGGCCACTGGCACGCTGGAGAAGAATCCTGGTTTCAACTGTATCGGGCAGATGGCAGACAGCATGTGTATGGTGTCGTGCGGGCAAGCAGTTTGCTGATGTCAACGTTGTGAACAGAGTGCCCCATGATGCGGTGGGGTTATGGTAGGGGCAGTTATAAGCTATGGACAATGAACACAATTGCATTTTATCGATGGGACTTTGAATGCACAGAGATACCGGGATGAGATCCTCAGGCCCATTGTCGTGCCATTAATCCGCCGCCATTACCTCATGTTTCAGCATGATAATGCACAGCCCCATGTCGCAAGGATCTGTACACAATTCCTGGAAGCTGAAAATGTCCCAGTTCTTCCATGGCGTGCATACTCACAAGACATGTCACCCATTGAGCATGTGTGGGATGCTCTGGATTGACGTGTATGACCGCGTGTTCCAGTTCCCGCCAATATCCAGCAACTTCGCACAGCCATCGAAGAGGAGTGGGACAACATTCCACAGGCCAGAATCAACAGCCTGATCAACTCTATGCGAAGGAGATGTATCTGTGACCAACAGATGCATATCTGTATTCCCAGTCATGTGAAATCCATAGTTTAGGGCCTGATTTTATTTATTTCAATATGAACTGGAACTCAGTAAAGTCTTTAAAATTGTTGCATGTTGCGTTTATTTTTGTTCAGTATAAATTAAGATGAATTTCCAAAGCGTGTTTTCTGGGTGTTGAAGTTCATTTCTCTTCCTCTCTACTTTCTACTGTACTTTTCAAATTGGACAATAAAGTTGCATTGTATTGTATTTCCAGGACCACCATTGATTGGGCAAAGACTAGAGACTTCCCCACGTTCCACAAGGCCAAGATGGAGGACACCAAGTTCTACGACCTGAAGGTGAAGGTGGGCTACCCCTACCTCTTCTGTCACCAGGGAGACTGCGAGCACGTTGTCATCATCACCGACATCAGGTCAGAGGTCATATTTTGTCATTCATATTGATCATATTGATACCTGGATGTTGAGCTTTGACTTGGTGTGTTGTTCCCCCCCCCCTACAGTGAGCTTCAAAAGTATTGGGACAGTGACACGTTTGTTGTTTTGTCTCTGTTCTCCAGCCCTTTGGATTAGAAATGATACAGCTATGAGGTTAAAGTGCAGACTGTCAGCTTTAATTTGAGGGTATTTTTTATCCATATCGGGTGAACCGTAAAAAAATTACAGCACTTTTGTACATAGTCCCCCCATTTTAGGGGACCAAAAGTATTTTAGGGGACCAAAAGTACAAATTCACGTAAAGTAGTAAAATGTTTAGTATTTGATCCCATATTCACAGCACGCAATGACTACATCAAGCTTGTGACTCTACACATTTGTTGGATGCATTTGCTGTTTGTTTTGGTTGTTTCAGATTATTTTGTACCAAATAGAAATTATGGTAATAATGTATTGTGTCAGTTTTGGAGTCACTTTTATTGTAAATAAGAGCTAGCATCAACATTAATGTAGAAACATATTATAAATATATTTTCAATAAAAGTGACTCCAAAATGACACAATACATTATGTACCATTAATTTCTATTGGGCACAAAATAATCTGAAACGCAACCAAAACAAACAGCAAATGTAAGAGAGAGTATAGTAGACTGTTGCTGTCAGAAAGTGATTGATGTGCTTTGCTGTGTCCTTTTGGTTGACCTCTTAATGACATCCTCCGGATGAGGCACTATATTTATTGTCATTAGGTAACTTGACAGTGCACCTGTTTCTTTGAAGTAAAAAATGTGTTTGAACTTGTTGATCTCTTAGTGACATCCTCTCAGGTGATGTGTAGTGAACTTGTTGAACTTAAAGAGATGGGTGCAGGGGTTGGTGTCAGGTTACAAGTAGGGGTATTTACAAGCAGCTACAGGGTCTGCAAGCTCGGGACTTAATAAATCACTCTCTCCTCCTCTCTAGGTGTCTAACAGATAACGCCTTAATGCGTTCAATATTGTGACCCTAGGTTCACAACATGCTTAATGACTTGGGTACCCACAATGTACCCACCTAAAAAAGATAATTGTACTCTTATAATAATAATAATAATAATAACTCTTTAACGATGTGCCCTTTACTAATGACTGAAACAGATAATTTTACCCCCTTAATAACCTTTTACTGCAGTGGGCTAAATCAGGGTCACACAGAGGTTCTTGGTAGTCTTAACAAGACACCAGTACCATGTCAGATATAGAGTTTACATTTATTCAATTTTGAGTTTGCATCCCAAAATGACACTTTGTCTCTGAATGTCCTTGAGTGGCCCAGCCAGAGGCCGGACTTGAACCCGATCGAACATCTCTGGAAAGACCTGAAAATAGCTGTGCAGCGACGCTCCCCATCCAACCTGACAGAGCTTGAGAGGATCTGCAGAGATAAATGGGAGAAACTACCCAAATACAGGTGTGCCAAGCTTGTAGCGTCACACCCAAGAAGACTCGAGGCTGTAATCGCTGCCAAAGGTGCTTCAACAAAGTACTGAGTAAAGGGTCTGAATACTTATGTAAATGTGATATTTCAGTAGTTTAAAAAAAAAAAATATATATATATATTTGCAAACATTTCTAAAAACCTGTTTGTCATTATGGGGTATTGTGTGTAGATTGAGGGGGGAAAAAACTATTTAAGGCTGTAACGTAACAAAATATGGAAAAAGTCAAGAGGTCTGAAATACTTTCCGAATGCACTGAATGTACAAAGTGTGTTAATTTCTAAACAGTTCACCCGACATGGATGAAAATACGCTCAAATTAAAGCCGACAGTCTACACTTTACTTTTGGAACTCGCTGTATCTATGAGGAATCAATGTGTCAGAAATCAGGTCACCTTACTCATATCAGTGCTGTGTGTCAATAGTCAATACTGTGAAGAAGGCTAGATTTCTGATAAGGCAGCAGGCCAGGGGAAAGTGCTGCCCTTTCTAGATGAATAGGATTAATTCACTTCTTTGATCAATTCACTCACATGATAAAGAGCCTAGAGGCTTTCAAAATGTCATCGTTCTGAGACTGATTTGATTTGTTTAAGTCTTTTTAGCATTCTTCTGACTGGTTTTCTTTGCTGCAGGCACTGTAACTGTGCATGAAGGCTGGTTTTGTGGCATAGCGGTGTGATGTTTCCAAGAAGGACTCTGCCTCAGTGCTGCCAGTGAAACAGTTCCCAAAACTGTGCTGGCTCAGATATCCCATCACTTTGTCCTTTTTCAGCACAGTTTATTTATTTAACCTTTATTTTGACAGGGAGTCAATGCTGAGACCAAGGTCTCTTTTCCAGATGAGCCCTGTTTAACACAACAATACATATCAAAAAACAGTATACACAAATTATGATAGTGTTTTGCCTTTTATGTATTGTTGTGTAGTTTAAAGACACATTCTTCAGTAAAAAGATCTCCTAGGAGCCGTCAAATGCCCCAGGCCAGTGTTTTCCAAACTCGGTGTACGTTTTGGTTTTTGCCCTAGAACTACACAGCTGATTCAAATAATCAACTAATTATCAAGCTTTGATCATTTGAATCAGCTGTGTAGTGTTAGGGCAAAGAACAAAATGTGCACTGAGTTTGGGAAACAGTGCCCTAGGCCTACAGCACAGGGGTCAAACTCATTCCAAGGAGGACAGTGTCTACGGGTTTTCGCTCCTCCCATGTACTTGATTGATTAATAATAATAATAATATGCCATTTAGCAGACGCTTTTATCCAAAGCGACTTAGTCATGCGTGCATACATTTTTTTTTTGTGTATGGGTGGTCCCGGGGATTGAACCCACTACCTTGGCGTTACAAGCGCCGTGCTCTACCAGCTGAGCTACAGAGGACCACATTAATTAAGGTTAGTAATTAGTGAGGAACTCCCCTCACCTGGTTGTCTAGGTCTTAACTGAAAGGAAAAACAAACACCAGCATACCGTAGGCCCTCCATGGAATGAGTTTGACACCCCTGCATTAGAGGCACCAATTCCTCCTATTTGTAAAGTGCATTGGAGATCATTCCACACGACAGGTGAAAGGTTCCAGCAACTATGGTGGATACGTAACAGGGCTAGTTCAGTACAGTTTGGCTTGGCTCATTAGTGTGGACATGGTATGTAAGTTTTATTTTTTCCCCTGCCCAATGTTTCTAGACTGGCCCATAAGGATGACTGCCTGGATAAGAAACTGTACCCTCTCCTTACCCACAAGCACAGGGTCTTGACCAGGAAGTGCGCCGTGTGTAACGTCTACATCGGCAGGTGTGTAGAGACAAAATGTCCCCCACAATAAAAGATAATCATTACTTGGGTTATGAGTTTTCCCTGTTTACATGACCTGGCCAAAAAAAACATATCCCTAGTAATTGACTGTACATTAGTTTTAAAAATGATGAGTTAAAGAATTATCTGGCACGGAAGTTGTCAGTGTACTAACTGGCCTTTTTTTGTTTCGTTTTCAGATGGTTAACCACAAATGATCCATTTGCCCCAAATGACCCGTGTCTCTTCTGTGAGCGGTGCTTCCGCATGCTGCACTACGACAAGGAAGGAAACAAACTAGGACAGTTTCCTGGCCTACCCTTATGTGGACCCTGGTGCCTTCAACTGAGACCGAGCTGCCCACATTCTACTAACCTTTCTCCCATCTACTGCTGGGCAGTATTGGCACATAGGGAGGAGTTTTTCTATTTTCTGTTGGAATTAAAGCACTTTACCTACTGTTTTTCTACTTTCATCTTGGATTGGGATTCACGGTCACATGGAAATGTTCTGGTTAATAAAGCATTTTTGGGGGGTACATTTGCAGTGATATTTTTCTGTAGTCGTCTAGAATTGTAAAGCTCATATTGAGAACGTTAGTTTAGGATTGATGAACCTTCAGTGGTGAACTGGTGACGTCACCAGCTCATGCTACTCATGATGAAAAGTTCACATGAACGATTATAGCTTTTACGAAGTATTGGTTTCACAAATTAAGCTTCTATGGACAGTGGGACAATACCCTTCTCTTATACATTTGAAACCCCACCTCTTTAAGGAATACCTGGGATAGGATAAAGTAATCCTTCTACCCCCACCCCCCCAAAAAAAAAAAAAAATATCGTAAAGTGGTTATCCCACTGGCTATAAGGTGAATGCACCTATTTGTAAGTCGCTCTGGATAAGAGCGTCTGCTAAATGATGTAAATGTAATACCTGTAGTGCCTCTGGCTAGGGAGTTGGATAGCACTGTATACCTTGCCCTGCGACAGCTCGAGTGATGGTGACTTGGAAAGGCACTTTAGCAACATCTTTATTCCATTGAAGTGTTTTGAATCGTCTTAACCGATCTGTTAAGCTAATGATGGCCATTTGTTTAGACCCGAAAGCTCAGATCTGAGAAAAGATATTACGCAAATACTTGTTTTCCATGTGACTATTGTTGTGACCTGTGAAAAGATAACCGTCGACTTGACACTACAGTACCATTGATTGAAGCAACTTCACTTGAACACATACAGATGAGGTCAATTATATTGGCACCCCCTTGTACTTTACAATAGAGCAGAATGTTGTTTTCTCTTAAACTGGTTGAATGGCTATTTTTACCCTGTAGGCACCTGCAACTTACCACAGGTGAGACATTACTCTGTTAACCAGAATCATTGCCTCCAACCAAATTTAATGCATTTTGAATAAGCTAGTCTAGGCCAGTTTTGATTTGGACCTGTGAAGTGTGAACAAGTTTTTAATTTAAACATATTTTTAGAATAAATAGTGAATCATGCAAGGGTGCCAATATATTTGACTGCATCTAAAAACTAATAATGAATCATTTGTTTCGATAAGCAAAATAACTGAATATCAATCAATTAATGTAGTTACTGACAAAAGGAATGTTATTGAACCATTGCTTTATTTAAAGGAGGCAAAAACAGGCTTTCAGACAGGCACAAAAATACTCTTATTTACATCAATGTCAGCAAAATGGAGGACTTAAAATGGAGGACTTAAACACACATTTAAATGTGGGTGTGCGAGAAAAAGAAAAGCACTTTATTGGCTAAATAAACTGTCACACTGGAGTAGTATTTCCTTTCTGTGCAAGAACATTCGGAAAAAAATATGTACACCTACTCTAGGAGTAATATTGGTCAGTATTGATTACATTTACTAAACTAACAAGTAATACAAAGACTCCTCTACCAGTAACTACCGTATATGTAGTCTTACCATACATCATCCATCTTGTATAATTGGGAGAATTGAGTTGAACTGAAAGATATTGGGATGTCAAACATTAAGTGATTCTAAAAACAGACTATCTGGTCAAATATTCTAAAACAGAATATACAGCTTCGTTGACCCACTCCATTTTTGCCATGACCTTCTCAAACATGATACGGTCAACATTTCACTTAGTAGAATCGTTTAAACAAACAATCTGAGGTCAGGGATGGGTTAGATATGCCTGTATTAAACTAACAATATATCTTCCTTATGGAACCACTTTTTACTACCATCAGTTTAAAAACAGCCATAGTTAAATCGTTAAAAGAAATCTAAAATAAGACTATGGAAGACACTGCTCTGTAAGGTTTAGAAGGACGTGGGTGTGCAAACCAGAAAAGAGCCTGGATTTGTACTATTTGAAATGGACATGTAGTCATAGCAACAGGAGTTAACCTCTGATTGGTGGTGTTTGGACTAGTGTGTGCAAGTGGTGGCAGCACAGATCAGTCAGGACTCAGGAGCAGTGAGTTCAGGTCAGCAGCACCAACATTCCCTTCAGTTCAGTCAGTCAGATAGGTTTCTTCATCATCAGGTGGATTCCTCTTGGGCCTTCACTACACTGCATGTAAAGGGATTATGAAATGGGACGGCAACTAGCACACAGTGCAGTTAAGAACGTTTATAGAAGTTATACAAACACAAATGGGGATATAACTAGCAAACTGACAAATGCTGATACATTTATTTTTGTGTGAACATTTGCTTGGTTTAGGAATTCTTGTTCATTAAACCTACTGAGACCCAAAGAGATACAGTGAACAGAGTGAGATGGAGGACATTCGTCAACGGCGTATGCACATGTAGGTCTGGTGGCTCTGGTTAAGTCTGTTGTTGTGAGCAAGCACTCCAAAACACCCAGAACTCATTGGCCCCCGTCTGTCTGTCCGTCATACAGTCCATCGGTCTGTCTTACCTGCTGTTATCTCCTGTAGAGGCCTCTTCAGCAGGCTTCTCCTTGTCCGACTCCTGCTTCTTATCATCAGGACTGGAGTCACCATTAGTCTTATCTAGAGCAAGAGACACACACAACGTGAGGAACAGACGCACACGCAGACACACACACTTTCAGTTTTAGCCTGCATACATCATCCAAAAACAGACACCCAGCCTCTTGCCCAGATACACATCATTATTTTTCTAGCTCTCATTTTACGACCCATAACACTGAAATCTCCTGGAGGAGTCAGGAGGGGATGACATGTGACACACTCATGCCTGCACCCTGGCCAGGCGGAGACTAATCTGATATTCCATCCATTGGAAATGCCTGGTAGTACGGATGTGGTCCCGACTATAACACAACCCTCCTGATCGTGTTAACACTTACTGAGCCAATCATAAAAAAAGGGCATAGTGCCTACAGACCAGTCATAAAAAGTTATGGGAACCACAGAAATATAATTCTATGGTGGTAAGGCCGCTGTGGCATCTTACTCTTAAGCCTTATTCACATTGGCAGTTTGAAATGACTCCAATCCTATAAAATAAAAATACAAATTACATATCTGATTAGAATCTGTAATTTTTCCTGCAGTCTGAACAACCAAAAATCACATTGAATCAGATATTTCAAGTCAGATTTCAAACCACCTTCGTATGTGGTTTGAAATCAGATTAAAATCTGATCCCTGGCCATGTGACTTGTCTGAACAGTCAAATCGGATTTATTTCCGCTTAAGTGGTTGTTAGACTGTTATTAGGCATATCTTGTTGCTTGCTGCTAATCTGTTGACAGTTTAAACAAGACCATGTGGCAACTAACTATTTTGTTAATTATTTACAAACAAATGAGTGAATGTGCTAGAAAGCTAAACAGCTACCTAGCTAGCTAGTTGACTGCTGTGGCTATATACCTTGAGACTTTAAAAGGTGTTCTTACTAGGGGGTCACCCATATTACCCCCACACCGGCCGTCATGAGTCATGACCGCAATAAAATTCCATGTGACTGTCCATGGTAATCTCCTTTTATGCAATCTGGACATGCTTTGGTAGTATCCAACTTGCTAACTACCATCAGGTCCTAATGGCCTGTTACTCAGGGCTCTATTGTCCCTCTAACCACTGACATCGATACAAATGCAACTGAAAATCACATCAAGCACTTATCAAAACAGCAGGCCTATCTTACTTTTAAAACTCACTTCACTGTGATGATCAATTTGAACAGTATTAAACATGGTTTTGGGGGATGTTGTTCCAAAGCCTAACAATGAAACCTTAGCGCTTTCTAAAGGTGAGATGAATTCAAAACTCCAATAAGCATACTAGAGCTTATGCATATGAGCCCGGGCAGTGGTTGAGGCGTGGAGTGAAATAAGTGTTCTTATATTTATTTCTCAGCTGCTCATATTAAAACACATGCTCCGCTATAAACCTGAAGTAGCCCTACAAAACGGACTGGTGGGAAAGCGCGCGGCCTCCATTCGCTATTTGAGTACATATGGATTATGTCTTTTTCCCCCCATGCCCATTTGATAATGGGCCATTCTAAATCTAAACACATTTTACATATTAGGTAAAGACAAGATTAAATTGAGAGTAGTCTGATGTGTGAAAATATGACCACTCGATGAGAGAACAGCTGTGCAGACTGGGGCAAGGAACAGCTTTTTTTGTTCCTTTCTCAAATCATCAATAGCCTGTAGTCACACCATGCAGCCGATATCCGTTTTGATTTCTAAGACATTCTAAGGTTTGTATCATTCGCAACTAAAGTTCCCAAATAACTCTATCTAGCATATAGGACCTGTTTCAAAATGATCACTTTTATGCTCAACATAGCCACTTCATATGCGCACTCGCTCCGTAATGGGAAAAATATTATTTATATTTTATTCAGCTAAGTTCAATAATTATAGGTTAAGAACTTTTGTGAAAGAGCACAGTTAGAAAGATATGGCATATAGAAGCTAACCGGATGGACATCATGAAAATTATCAGAGAGATTGAGGAAGTTCAGGAGTAAAAACAAACAAAATAGAACTATTGTAAAATTGTGTACATAAAATGTATTTAGTATGTATAAGCTGGAAGTAGAGGGCCTAAGTATTGTTGTTCACTAGTTTACTCCAATTAGGGGAGGGGTGGTAGGGTTAGAAAGTAATAAAGGAAAATATATATTTTTAAAGGATATGTATATGTTTTTATTTATATGTATGTATGTATGTATGTATGTATGTACAGAACCAGTCAAAAGTTGGGACACACCTACTCATTCCAGGGTTTTTCTTTATTTTTACTATTTTCTACAATGCAGAATAATAGTGAAGACATCAAAACTATGAAATAACACATAACACGGGGGGCCAGTATGAAAAAAGAATGTATGCACTAACTAAGTCGCTCTGGATAAGAGCGTCTGCTAAATGACTAAAATGTAAATGTAGTAACCAAAAAAAAGTGTTAAACAAATCAAAACATATTTTATATTTTAGATTCTTCAAATAGCCACCCTTTGCCTTGATGACAGCTTTGCACACTCTTGGCATTCTCTCAACTACCTTCATGAGGTAGTCACCTGGAATGCATTTCAATTAACAGGTGAGCCTTAAAAAGTTAATTTGTGGAATTTCTTTCCATCTTAAGATATGAGATAATCAGTTGTGTTGTGACAAGGTAAAGGTGTACAGATGATAGCCCTATTTGGTAAAAGACCAAGTCCATATTATGGCAAGAACAGCTCAAATAAGCAAAGAGAAACGACAGTCCATCATTACTTTAAGACATGAAGGTCAGTCAATATGGAAAATGTCAAGAACTTTGAAAGTTTCTTCAAGTACAGTTGCAAAAACCATCAAGCGCTATGATGAAACTGGCTCTCATGAGGACCGCCACAGGAATGGAAGACCCAGAGTTACCTCTGCTGCAGAGGATAAGTTCATTACAGTTACCAGCCTCAGAAATTGAAGCCCAAATAAATGCTTCACAGAGTTCAAGTCACAGCCATCTCAACATCAACTGTTCAGAGGAGACTGTGTGAATCAGGCCTTCATGGTCAAATTGCTGCAAAGAAACCACTACTAAAGGACACCAATAAGAAGAAGAGACCTGCTTGGGCCAAGAAACACGAGCAATGGACATTAGACCGGTGGAAATTTGTCCTTTGGTCTGGAGTCCAAATTTGAGATTTTTGGTTCCAACCGCTGTGTCTTTGTGAGACGCGGTGCGGGTGAACGGATGATCTCTACATGTGTAGTTCCCACCGTAAAGCATGGAAGAGGAGGTGTTATTGTGTGGGGGAGCTTTGCTGGTGACACTGATTTATTTAGAATTCAAGGCACACTTAACCAGCATGGCTACCACAGCATTCTACAGCGATACGCCATCCCATCTGGTTTGGGCTTAGTGGGACTATAATTTGTTTTTCAACAGGACAATGACCCAACACACCTCCAGGCTGTGTAAGGGCTATTTTACCAAGAAGGAGAGTGGAATGCTGCATCAGATGACCTGGCCTCCACAATCCCCCGACCTTAACCCAATTGAGATTGTTTGGGATGAGTCGGACGGCAGAGTGAAGGAAAAGCAGCCAACAAGTGCTCAGCATATGTGGGAACTCCTCTAAGACTGTTGGAAAAACATTCCTCATGAAGCTGGTTGAGAGAATGCCAAGAGTGTGCAAAGCTGTCATCAAGGCAAAGGGTGGCTATTTGAAGAACCTCAAATATAAAATATATTTTGATTTGTTTAACACTTTTTGGGTTAATACATGATTCCATGTGTTATTTCATAGTTTGGATGTCTTCACTATTATTCTATAATGTAGAAAATAGTAAAAATAAAGAAAAACCCTTGAATGAGTAGGTGTGTCCCAACTTTTGACTGGTACTGTATATATGCAAAAAATATATATGGGGGATTGGAAGTGATGCAGACAATTACATTGATGGAAGTTACAATCTGCAATACTAAAGCTGATCTACCCCCTAACAAAAAAACAACAACAAACAAGAAAAAAAAAGTTCAATTATATTATTCTTACTATAAAATCATATAAAATAAAAGAATGCGACGGGACTTGTTTTATATGTTGTCAGCTAAATGAACAAGCCTACAGCCTATGGCATGGAGCATAGCCAGATAACATAGGCCTACAGTAGGCCAACAAATATTTAGATCTTCTGAAATACATTTTCTTCATATCATGTTTCTTTAGACCTGACTACAACAATGGATTTTTTGTGATGGTGTACATTAAATTGATTTATTATACTTTCTTAAAGGGTGCATCAGTGGCTTGTATGTGTGGAGGCATGGAGATGCTAAAGGTGTTTGTTAATTAACGGTCAATTACCGTGAGACCGGCAGTCTTTTGCACGACAATAACCGGCTGACAATTTAATGCCCTCCACAACCCTAGTTCTAACACTATGATTTTGAACATTCAAAGCAACTGGGAAAATGTCCATGGCAGGCATTGTTGTCACCTTAGCTTGCTACACTTCCGGAGTGATAGGAAGCACGTCATGAGCACCACCACCAATCAACACCACCCATCGTTACTATGACAACTAGCGTTGCCATGTCAGCAAATGACTGCTGTCTGAACACACACAAATCCGATTTGGTCACATGTAACTCGCTGTTTGGACAGTCAGTATTCCGAAATGGATTTTAAAAAACAAAACCGATCTGAGCATTAAGGCTTGCAGTGTGAACAAGGCTTTATTCTACGCACATGGCCTAACCGGTCATAAAGGGTGGCCAATGAGGTGACCAGAACCTCAAAGCCTATATGATCAGTAGACAATATTCTTTTCATACAGGAATGAAAGCACAACGCTAACTCCAATTTTCATGCGAATGAATCTCCCATTGACAAAGCATGATGATTTATGCAAAAGTTGCGTGTATTTCCAGTTCGGAGTTGGCCCACCATACCTGATTAAATAGTGTCAAATCCTAACCCGATATGTGCACATAACTAGAATTTGAGCTAATTCTCCTAATGTTGTCCCCGCCTGACTTATACGAAAGTCAGATTCACGTGTGCATATCACAAGTTTGGCATTGAGCCAAGAGCGGATACGCTCTTAACTACCTATACTAAGTGACTGTTTGCCTTTCATCACAATATGTTCCCACAGTAATTGTTTATGTAAAAAATGTAATAAAACAATATTCTAAACAAAAAGGCACATATCTATTAAGTCTCAGAGTCGGTCTGGTCTTTATCTACCCTTTCTCTATACTGGCTGGTGAAGAGTTTTTCTCCCAAACAATTAGTCGTATGGACATAAATTCACAGGATATTTCACAGGCCACACAACGAGCATTGCAGAACACTGAGAAAGACACCGAGCCTTCTGAATCTGGAATGTTTGAGTTGATGCTCATCACATCAGATTCCCAAGGAGGAATATGTAGAGCGTTGACCCTAACCACAGATACTGGGTAATATTTCTTCATCTTTCTGAAGGATTCTGTTGGCTAATCTGATCTGAGACCAGTGCTTTTGGGCAACTTCTAAATCCAGCTATTGTGACTGATCAGGTATCAAACCACAGTGTTCCGCATGACTCAAAACTGCATTAGCCCACTGAGCTAAAGCCTTGGGTTTAGCTCTAGGTGCAGACATACAGTAAGTAGTGTCACCAACCCACCTCCATTACATTTATCACTTATCTCCCACTCCACAAGACCCCCATTCCCCCTCCCCCAGTCCCATTCCCAGTGTTGTTTTCCCTGACCTGCTGGCCTTCTTCAAAGCACCATTCTTGGCTTTACTAAGTTTGCAGTTAGCCAGTGTGCAGTTCGCTAGTGTGGCTATAGGAACAGAGCCCCAGTCCCTCTTCCCTCCCAGTACCTGTGTTGTTCTCCCTGGCCCGCTCTGCCTTCTTCTGGACTCCCTTCCTGGCCTCCTCCTGCTGCTTCTGCTCTGCTATGGACTTGTTGAGCACCTGGCTGAGCAGCTGGTCCCCCTCCCCCAGCAGGAACATGCTCTTAAACTTGTTGTACAGCATGGTGGACTTGTCCATAATGTCCTGGCTGGCCTTGAACCTCCGGATCTGGCCACCCATGGAGAGCATACAGTAAATACAAGAGATATAGGTGGTCCTCTGTAGCTCAGGTGGTAGAGCATAGCGCTTGCAACGCCAGGATGGTGGGTTCAATTCCCGGGACCACCCTTACGTAAAATGTATGCACAAATGTCTAAGTCACTTTGGATAAAATATCAATAGCATTTAACTTATTAAACCTCCAGATCTGGCAACAAAGAGCAGCATGTACATGGGGGATAAAAGTTTGCATGCACATAAATATTCACCCGTAAACATGCACACGATAACATGCACCCACAGTTGTATACAATTAGCAGATGTTCTTATGTACTCTTATAATGTGACGACCTAAGCAGAAGGTGAGGGCTAAGTGGCAGCAGGTGTGCGTCTTTGTAGGGGAAGCGCTACCCTCAACCATAAACCCCAGCAGTCAGGGTCATTACATGCATTCTGGGACACAGCTCTGACAGGGACATTACCTTTTTGAGTGTTGCTATCAGCTCTGAGTGTTTCTGCAGGTGCTGGGTGGTGACCTGCAGCATACCCAGCTCATCCAACGCCACCAGACACTTCTTCACATCCTACACACACACACATTTATCTTCTTCAACCAGGTGAGTAACAGCCTACTAAACAAAATTGCAAAGGTCTGACAAAAAAAGTAATAAATAAACAAGAACTAAGATCAAGATCCCTCAAACTCAACTCTGGACCTCGAAGCCAGTTCCACTGCATTCATTGTTCCCCTCTAATCAGGGACTGATTTAGACCTGGGACACCAGGTGTGTGCAATTAATTATCAGGTAGAACAGAAAACCACCAGGCTCCGCACCTCGTAGGGTCAGAGTACCCCTGATCAGGGGCAGTCTTGAACTTACTGGGTTGTCAATCTTGAGGGAGATTTTGATTTCTCCATGCAACCTCTGCAGCCTCGATTCTGTCGATATCTCTGCGATGAAGGGAAGAAAAACAGACATCAGTCATGAAAGCCAGAGTTGACCTAATCTCCACAGAGGATAACTAGGCCTAGTAGCAATGATCTTCACAATGTCCACGAGAAAACACCAATACACAAACTCACCTTTCTTCTTGTCACCTTTCCTTTCATCCACTTTTTTCCCATCCTCTTTTTTTTGCCTGATAGAGAAACACATAAGACCATTAACGCACCAAATCAACTCAGGTCACACGTCAATTCAATTTGAAGTCCACATGCAAACGACTAACCAAAAACCTCATATGTACACACAACCAAACTGAACTGCCAGTCGTTTTAAGAGTAGCACCACTGGAAATTCCATCAACATGTCAACTGGAGATAATTTGAGATGGATGTACAGAACAGGGAACCCAATCCCCCCCCCCCCCCCCCCCATCCAGAACAGTTGACCCCTGTTGTGCAGGCCTCTTGTGACCTGTGCACATGGAATGACCCTCATGTCTGGCATCCAATTCTGTCATTGCCCTGTCCTCCCGCTGCGGCTACCATTCGACATAAACCCTGACCCTGCCATCTTGTCACAGTGACCTCTGACACATGGTGTTCTACACAAACGACCATCACGTCGGGCGCCATTTTTAGACGGAGCAGTAAAAAATATATCACTAGTCATTGAGAATGTGGAGCCCCTGTGGGGTGATGTGGAGCCCCTGTGGGGTGATGTGGAACTCATGTGGGGTACTAAATAGAAAGGTGAGTGTTGGGTGGACGGACAGACAGATACAGATAGATGGACAGACAGGTAGATAGATGGACAGACAGACAGGTGGACAGAGACAGACAGGTGGACAGAGACAGACAGACAGGTGGACAGAGACAGACAGACAGGTGGACAGAGGGTCACCTTACTCTTTCTGATCGTCTTTGTCCCCCGTCTCGGTCGGAGTGGGCTGCTGCCGCTTGCTCTTCTGATGGTTACATTGGTTAACGGGGTGGAGAAAGAGATGTTGATTGGATGTTCATACATGTAGATATGCTTGGCTGGTACCGTTTGTCATGACATGGTATCACTGTGTAACTGTATGCTACACTAGGCTGGAGCAAATGTTCAACATGCACCTTTAACCCTATGGGTACTTGGAAGGTACCAACTACTGGCAACCCCCCCATATAGTGGAAACAGTATCTGAATTAGAATTTGCCAGCCTGTCTGGTCGTGGGACACCACCCCTGTCTGGTCGTGGGACACCACCCCTGTCTGGTCGTGGGACACCACCCCTGTCTGGTCGTGGGACACCACCCCTGTCTGGTCGTGGGACACCACCCCTGTCTGGTCGTGGGACACCCACCTCCTGGTCAGAGGAGTCAGAGGAGCTCTCCTCTTTGGCCTGTCTCCTCCGTTTAGCGTCAGGGTCCTTCCTCCCTTTGCTCTCCTCCTTTCTCCTCCCCTCAGGCCTCTTCTCCTGCTCTCCTCTCCTGGACTTGTCTTCCGGCGTCCTCTTCCTCTTTCTCTCTGACTCAGCAGTGTCCCTGATCGGAGAGAAACGTCTTTTAGGACTTTTTTTTTTTACCCAAGAAAGTCAAAGCAATGTTGTTCAACGGTAGCTACAGTAGTGTTGATCCTCTGTTGTTTTCTGACAAAGTATTTTAACAGCCCATTAATTATGGATTACTAGTGGATCCTTTAAATCAGTGGATGTGTCTCATATAGAGATTCTATTAGATACATATAACTGAAATTGTTAAAATACACCTGTGCAATGAAGACATTTATTGTTCTTGTAAATGCACATTTGCTCTTATTGTATGTGTGCTTGTCTAATGGTGATGATAAGAAGCAGGAGTCGGACAAGGAGAAGCCTGCTGAAGAGGCCTCTACAGGAGATAACAGCAGGTAAGACAGACAGACGAACCATAACCACATTATGCAACCGTACATGTCACTGCCTGAGCCCTGGGGGTCCTGCTGCTGGAGTAGGAGCATCTTCTCAGCTTTGGTCTTCCTGCCTCGCCGCTTAGGAGTGGGGCCCTCTCCGCCTGGGCACAGGAACACACAGGAACACATAGGGAGCACAAAGGATCCAAATGTTTTACAGGTCATAGAGTTTGTAGTTGTTAGTCCTCATCAGTTATCATAATGAGAAGGACACTACTGTCCCAATCCAGATATGAGAGCCATGCAAGCTGTTTTCCATTACTGTGGTTGTTGTGTTACCCTTTGACAAAATAATAGGAGTGCCTGAGGTAGGACTGATGTCTTGCTCACACACACACATACACTCTCACAACACCTACAACAGCGGGAAAGGTCGAGGGTTGCATTGACAGACGCTGTACCTTGAGGGCTGGATGTGGGACTGTTGGCAGTGTCCTCTTTCTCCGAGTCGGCCTCTACATCACTCTGACAAGAGACACGGAACGCAAGACACCGAGTTTAGTTTCAAAGTGATCGACAAGTTGTATTGTATGTCAGCTGCATTATGTCTCGACTGAGTTCATTCATGTTATACATGAGGATATGGGACACCTTTTTCTTCCTTCTTCTCTTGGGTTTGGGAGTGTCTGTAGATTCCTTTGGTGTGGGGTCCTAGAAAAATAACACACACACAGATGCAGTCAAATATATTGGCAGCCCTTGCACTTTACACTATACTGTAATGGAGTAGAACGTTCTGCTTTCTCTTTTAAACGTGGTTGAATGGATATTTTTACCATGTAGGCATCTGCAATTTACCACAGGTGAGATCAATTACACAGTAAACCAGAATCTTTGCCTCCAACCAAATTATTTAGAATTTAAGGCCATTTGTTGACTTAGGTTAAAAATCTAAATTTCAGTTTATTTATATATATATATATATATATATATATATATATATATATATATATATATTTTGTTTGTTTGTTTTTGTTTTGTCCTGTGCAGTTGTAAATCAAACAAATGCACATGTAAACACCAAATGTTTTTTCAATGTCAACTTATTTTAGAAGAAAGTGAGTCATGCAAGGGTGCCAATATATTTGACTGCATCTGTATAGTAATAACTCCATCCCAACTGTCCTTGCCATAAAACAAGGGAAAGTTTAGCGTTTCAGCCCCATCTAGTGGATTACTGTTGTATTACACCTACCAAGTCAGCCGGCAAGAGTGTAGTTCCCAGAACAGTTCCTATCAAGTGAACGGTCAGTCATTGGGGCAAGAGAGCACCTTACCTTTCTCCAGAGCGACATTGAATGCCATGCAAAAATAAAACATAAATACGTTGCTTTAACTGATAAGAATTGCTGTAGTTCAGCCCCCCAATTAAAAGCTTGATAACAACAACCCAAGGAGCAAGGGAGGGAGCAACACATGCCACTGATCAACAAGCAGGCCTAGGCATGTCAATGTTGAATCAGAAAAACAGTCTAGGACATCAAATCTTTAGAGAAGTGTGAAGGAAAGGGAGGATTCAATCATTCAGGTTCATGCAAATTACATTTTGAACATACCACATCTAATTCACCCAAAAAAATGCACAGATTTATTTACATTTTTTATGGTGAATGCCCAATCTCACTAAACACAACATTTGCATGATCCCCCATAGTGAGAGCCCAGGTTTGTTTAAAATGAATGACAGTGGTTATTTTAAGGACACAATCACACCGCTATCCATATCCATGGTAAACTAAACTTACAGGCCTCCTAGACAGGTACTGAAAACTCCTCTCTCTTTGCCCTTCTCACCATTCACTACAAGGAAATAACCCTACCTACCCCTACCCATCCCTGTAGTTATGTGGCACAGTTCTAAAACACTCCTCAAAATACTATTGTTACCAACAGAAAAACCAGGCTAGCTAAGAAACAGAGGGAGGATACGGAGCCAAACCATCACCTTACACCTTTGCAATGCGTAGTCGTGCAAGCCAATGGTAACAATAGGGACAAAAATCAACAACTATAAAATGAAAATCACCAGGTGCCACATCATGCTTTCCCTAAGTGGGGTGGGAGGGTCACCTATCCCATCATGCAACAGTACGTACATCCTGGGGCTGTCTCTGTTCAGAGACCTGCATGCCCCCATCCTCCTCCTCACCATCCTCCTCCTGTCCAGCCTCACTCTCAGCCCCCGACACCTGGGTAACCACACCAAACACACAGTGCCCAGGGTATGGGGGGTTAGGTTAGTTATTTAGTTGGGCCAATTGACAGCTATCCAGAGAGAGAAGTTGGGCCCCCTCTCTCCCTTGACTTCAGTCCTTCGCTCCTAGACAATTCCACACATAATTGGGGTTCAGCTTGGGCAAACAACTCTGGTCAAATACTAGTAACATACACCCCCCCCCCCTCAAAAATAACATTTCCCAATTCATTGTCAATTCACAGCCAATGGTTTGCCTCTTGGGGTATTACGACACAAAGCACTGTACCATTGGCAAAAGGAGACAACATCAACAGCAGACAGACATTGGTACAAGAGCGCACGTCATTCAATGTTACGTAGGCATGGTGCTAGTCAAGAAAGTGAGGTTAGTCAGTATTCTTACACGTGAATAACACAGTCCATATAAATAGAATTAACTATGCAATAATTGATTCTACTTCTATGGTAGAATGGTTAGCCTACTTTGGGTTTCTTCCTCTTCTCATAATCTCCCTCCTCGTCCCCTTCTGGGTTACTGTCAGAGTCCTTCTCCGTTACGTTATCCGACAGCATCATTTGCTAATGAAAGAAAACCAAACATGTTGCCAAAAAAAAACATTCCTAAATCACAGACCTAGGATCAGACTACTTTAACTCCAAAACCTAACCTTAAAGGGGCAATCCGCAGTTGAAACAATAACAAAACGTTGTCACCCATCACTTGTTTTGGTAAACAGCTGAGGGATGGGCCTTGAGAAATAGAATATTACCACTCTTGCATTCATAGACAAGGACTGACCATCCATAATATCCAAATGATAGATTTAACCATATTTTGAAACTATACAGTGTTTGTTTACATAGACTTTGTTATATTTTGGGTTCTGATGGGGTATGACAGTTGATCTAAGCTCATGAGGCATTTATAAGTTATATTCTTCAAGAATCAATGGCTATATTTCATTTATTTAACAGTCCAAAAATGGATGTAGAAATAGCAGATTGCCCCTTTAACCATTAGGGCAACCCCCCCCACCTCCATAGAAAACTCCAGGGGCATGTTCATTAGACACCAAATGGAAGTAAATTGATTAATGTACTGCATTGTTGAGGGAGCTAGCACATAAGCATTTCGCTGCACCTTTTAAATGCTACAGTCCCTGGCGCGACTCGAACACGCAACCTAGACAGTCACGGATTAGGCCCGCCCATCCTCCCCGCTTTTGTTTCTGTCTAAAGTAACTAGACCATTAGTAGGTATCATACGTCTTGGAGGTGCTTAGAAATATGTAAAGTACATTTCGTATTGGGTCTGAAGCCAGGCTGAACGCTCATATTCATTTTCTGTTGCATAACGTCTTCCGTTGTGTGCCCTAACGAACACGAACCAGAGCAAAATGACAATGGTGACAAAAGAGAGGAGATAAAACAAACCTTCTCTCCATTCAGCTCCACCTTCGGGTTGTTCTCAACCTCCCACAAGCCTTCGTTGAAGCCCTTTCTCTTGTTAGGCTTGGCATACTTCTCTTTATTGGGCAGGTAGGGATATACATCTTTGGGGCCTAGGAATGCACTGCAATAGAGGAGGAAAGTCAATGCATAGATGCTTTTCTGGTGCTCAAGCTGATGTTTGTATATTGTACACATTGCCAATATCAAGCACTGGTGTATTGTTGAGATAGAGGGTGTATTGTATTGTATTGTAGTGTAGTGTAGTGTAGTATATGGGTGAGACCGAGGGAGCTAGCTAACTTCTTACGTTTCATGGGTACCAAAGAAGAAGATGGGAAACTTCATGTTGGCCGGCTTCACAGCTCCATCAGAGTAGTCATTAATCTGGTAGAAAGGGAGAGAGCAGGGAATTGATGAGCCTAGTCTGTACATTTTATGTAATTACATTTACATTTTAGTCATTTAGCAGACGCTCTTATCCAGAGCGACTTACAGTTAGTGAATCCATTTTTTTATACTGGCCCCCCGTGGGAATCGAACCCACAACCATGGCGTTGCAAACGCCATGCTCTATCAACTGAGCTACATCCCTGCCAGCCATTCCCTCCCCTACCCTGGACGACGCTGGGCCAATTGTGCGCTTAGCCAATTGTGCAGTTGGCACTGCAATGCAGTGCCTTAGACCACTGCGCCACTCAGGAGTCTCTGATTGGCAGACAATTCAAAACACCCGTCTTTAATAAATGCCCTGCATGACAAATTATCTGTGTAACATGTCTGCTTTAAAAGTGTTCAATATAAGTTTAGAATGGAAGTAACAACTCTAGAATACCATGAAATTAAAGAAAAATTACTATATGTTAGCGCTGGGACGACAAACCGAAAATTATCGACACCGATCATACCCATCACTTATCGCAGGCATTTTGCTGATATCGTTCATTACGATAAGTAGCCTATACTAGAGAAATATGAAGTTTGAAATGAAATAATTGTGCTAATATTGGTGATTGTTAATGGGACAATTGATGTCTACAACCATCAAACTAGTAGTAGTAGTTTAAAAGGATAATTTACACAAAATTGTGGTGCACATTAATGTTATTATAAATGTATCGTTATTGCATAATTTCTGGCAATTTATCGCGATATGGATTTTTGTCCATATAGACCAGCTCTACATACGTCGTTATGGTAACTGGAAGTAACTTGTTTTGTGTGATTGTGTATTGCCTTACCCTGGCAGGCCAGTGAGGGTAGCCCTTCATCTTCGCAAAGATCAAATCACCAGGTTTGTAATCCCGAGCCATTTCCTTGCGACGTAGAGCACTCTGTTGACACATAATAATACACAGATCATCTACTCAGTGCAAACTTGGAAACAGAATGCAACTTTAGCCTACATTCACAGAAAGAACATAGCTATATGAAATGCGTGTAGTCCTACGAAAAAGCCAATTGGGAAAATGTTTCAGGACCATGCACCTACCTATTGCACACCTGAATTGAGTTTAAGATGTGGGAACATTCTACAAGTGTCCGACTCAGAGGGCATGCATGATTCGTGCATAACAGTGTGGGTGTGTAGCAAGGGCATTAACCCTTACCCCCATGCCATGCATTAGCCCATCGACTCGTGCACACAAACAGAAACGTGGACGGATACAGTTTCATTCATTAATGCCGAATCTCCCGCGACCCATGAAGAGTGCATTATTATGTTTACAGGTAGATACTTTTTCATGCTTGTCAACATGTAGTTACTAACTTTAGCTACCTAGCGTTGCGCTACAATGTTTCCTTTTCCCGTCATTCTAGTATTTTCCGGTGACAACATGAACATGCGGACTGTCTTTATAGCTTTGACCTCAGTTCAAAACGAACTAATTCATACCGTTAAGAAAGGAATACTATTATGTGTATGTTAGTGTCATATTCACAAACAGTCTGAATGGTGTTTACTATAGGAAAATGTAAAATGCTTACCAAATTAGTACTATGTTCGTAGCTAGCTAAGCAGCCTGCACAACTTTTCCTGATCCCGCGCAACACGGTAATGGATTCTACCATAATAGCTCTAAAATAGGGTAAGCTAAAATCCTAAACACTCAAATTCTAGTCCTTGCAATGCGCATCTTGGTCTTTTTACGTGAATAAAGTAATTGAATTGAGATTATTTGTGCTTCTGATGTGCACACAGTTGTATTTGTAGATGTAGTCAATGCAAGACAATTCAAGTGGATGAGGTACACCCCTCCTATAAGATGTACGTTTAGGAGAACTGCGCAAGTACATTTCCTTGGTAATGATGCCGCATTATGGTATTATGGTTGAATAAATCCACATGTGATCATTTTGACAGCTATCACAGTTGACTTGAGGAACTATGCTTTTCGTTTTCCTCAAGTTGCCTCAATCTGAAATATGAGTTTGTCTAATACCCCCAAATATGACATGTTATCACATAGTAATACATATCACTCCTTTGAAGGTAAGAACATTTGGTAAAGCGTTTATCCGACTCCTGTGTGAAATAACTTTATATTTAAACTGGAGGCTACTTTGGACGTCAACCTCAAACGTCAACGTGGTCATTATAGCTGTCTTCATATTTTACAGAATGCTGACATCTAGTGGAGTATTCGAGTCTTGCACCACTACAGGAAATCATATTCCTTACTGCTTGCCATTCATTGCCCTCCAGTGGTGGAGATATGTACTGAGCCCCACTAACTTTTATCCAAAGCGACTAACAGTCATGTGTGCATACATTTTTACGTATGGGTGGTCCCGGGGATCGAACCCACTACCCTGGCGTTACAAGCGCCATGCTCTACCAATTGAGCTACAGAGGACCACATACCATAACAGGAATTGAGTATTGTTCCCTCACTTCTCTTTCATTGTATTAAAGTATTTAGTTACATTCTCTTTTGCATCTTCTGAATGTATCATTCATTCAGGAACATACATGTTTGGTTACGTGTACGTTGTAGTGCAGGGATGTACTGGTAAAAAAGGGTAGATGGACCCTATTCACACAATTAAAAAGGTTTTAGTTGACTTGAGCTTATCTTCCACTACATCACTGAGTTGGAATTATCAGAGGTCTCGTCTAGAAAGGTGAATCTCTGTGCACTGACAACAACAATGACATCACATCAGTAATACTAGGCCTGCAACTGCTTCCTCTGACACCACCACTATCAAATCAAATTGTATTTGTCACATACACGTGTTTAGCAGATGTTATAGCGGGTGTAGCGAAATGCTTGTGCTTCTAGCTCCGACAGTGCAGTAATATCTAACAAGTAATATCTAACAATTTCACAACATATACCTAATACACACACAACTAGTCAGGAATGGAATTTAAGAAAATATACATATATGGACAAGCAATGACAGAGCGGCATGGACTAAGATACAGTAGAATATTATAGAAAATAATGCAGTATATACATATGAGATGAGTAGTGCAAGATATGTAAACATTATTAAAGTGACTGTAAACATTATTAAAGTGACTATTGTTCCATTTCCAGGACCGTCACGTCTACTTGAACCTTTCTACTGTTGAACAAACACAGCAGGCAGGACTGAATGAAGGTGACCTAGGTGTGTGTGACCACAAACACAGGACAGAGCAGTGGTGTGTGTGTGTGTGTGTGTGTGTGTGTGTGTGAGAGAAAGACAATAGGAGTAAAGGAGATACTGATGAATGTGAAGGACAGGCCCGTCACCCCAGAGAGGGGGATTGGGGAGGAGAGAGGAGAGGAGAGCAGGCTCCAGGAATAACACAGAGGAGCAACCAGGAGGAAGAGGACCCCTGCCCAGCCTGTAGGGTGAGAGACCTTGGTGTTGGACCTGAGCCAGCTCAGTAGGGTTCAGACACCAGGCCTAGTGGGGAGGGAGGGAGGGGGAGATGGAGGTAGGTAGGTGGGGGGGTGAACGGATGGATGGAGAGAGGGAGGGACGGAGGGAGTGAGGGGAGGGAGGGACTGAAGGTGGTAGTGTGTCTATCTACCCTTCACCCTGGCAGACGAGGTGTTGGCACAACGTCCCATCCCTCTTTCTCTAAGGAGCCCCATGATGTCCTGCTGCTCTCACTCACTCCATATCACCTAGTAACATTCAGAGTATGTGTAAATGTACTTGGCGAACATACCCTTAAAATAATAATATACCCTTAAAATAATGAACTTAACTATTCCCTGTATGTGTGTTCAGGTTTTGGCATATTTTAGGCCGATGTGTGTAGGGTTTAGGGCACTCTAGGACTGTGTGTGTAGTGTGTAGGGTTTATGGTACTCCAGGACTGTGTGTGTAGAGTTTAGGGTTTATGGTACTCCAGGACTGTGTGTAGTGTGTAGGGTTTATGGTACTCCAGGACTGTGTGTGTAGAGTTTAGGGTTTATGGTACTCCAGGACTGTGTGTGTAGAGTTTAGGGTTTATGGTACTCCAGGACTGTGTGTAGTGTGTAGGGTTTATGGTACTCCAGGACTGTGTGTAGTGTGTAGGGTTTAGGGTACTCCAGGCCTGTGTGTGTAGAGTTTAGGGTTTAGGGTACTCCAGGCCTGTGTGTGTAGAGTTTAGGGTTTAGGGTACTCCAGGACTGTGTGTGTAGTGTGTAGGGTTTATGGTACTCCAGGCCTGTGTGTAGTGTGTAGGGTTTAGGGTACTCCAGGACTGTGTGTAGGGTTCAGGGCACTCCAGGACTGTGTGTGTAGTGTGTAGGGTTTAGGGTACTCCAGGCCTGTGTGTGTAGTGTGTAGGGTTTAGGGTACTCCAGGACTGTGTGTTTAGGGTTTAGTGTGTAGGGTTTAGGGCACTCCAGGACTGTGTGGCTTCTTCTGAAGGGCACCTTGCCAGATTTTTGTGAACGATGGTGTCCTTGAGTGTGTGTGTGTGTGTGTGTGTGTGTGTGTGTGTGTGTGTGTGTGTGTGTGTCAGTCGTGCCCGTGGATTGGCAGCCTTTCCCTCGCCGCTGCTGGCAACTCTTCAGCTCGTTGGGGGGTGGGCAGGGGTGCCATTGGTGAATGATAAAGTAATCGCCAGACAGGTCAGTATCTTCATTAACACCACATCCATGTTCAGGGGGCCTATTTTTTCTTCATGAAGTGTTACTGTCGACCCGGTGATGAACTATGGAACCCTATTAAATGACCTAGTATGAAAGTAAAAGAGCCAAATAAACGTAATATGATTGAGTAGGTGTTTTTTATACTATAAGTGAGATGTTGGCCAAAAGTATGGATTTAATTAAATGTCTGAAACAATATTTGGGACTGAGTGGCACAGGTCATGTATTATCAGTAATACAAAATGTATATTGTTGAAACACTGGATGGCTGGTGGAGACTTGGAAAATAATCTGAAGTACAATTAGTTTGTAAACGGATAGTGGCAGCATATGTGTTTTTTTACCCCCAAGTCCGAAAATGCATGTACCTATCCCAGATTAAACAAGAACAAGAGATGGCAGAGTTTTTCTGGAGGAGGCGTAGGAGAGCTTCCTATCAGCTCTGCAGTGAGAGAGAGAGAGGGAGGGAGGGACGAGATGGGGAGAAAGAGAGAGAGAGAGAGAGGGAATGAGAGAGTCAGGCCCTCGGACAGCAGGTGAGTGTGTGAAGGCAGGGGATGACAGATGCTTCTGTCAGGGTTCCAACAGTCACCAGTTTGTGGGAGCGCCGCAGATGCCTCCTCCTCCATCCTCTCCTCTCGACAGGCTGCGATGGGGGGATGACAAGACAGGATCAGTCCTCTCAGTGGTGGAGTGACCACACTGGCACGCTGGCGGGCGGAGGAGGAGTAAGGTGATGGAACGGGCCAGAGCTGGGCCGGGGGCTCGGGTCTAGGGGGGGATGTGTGGGGCTGCTGGTGGGGTTATAAATGCGGGGGTCAGCGTGCGAGGACAGGGGAAGGGCTCTCTTGCTGGGCTAGAGGAGTCAGCTGAGACGCGGGGTCCACCGCGCTGGTCCGCCCTGCGAGGGGAGCAGATGTTTTCACTCGGGGGCGAGCCAAGTTCCGGAGCAACCTTCAGCTGCTTGGAGGTCAGGTCTTCAATAAGGGGAGCGGTGCATGGGACATTTCGGAGGCAAACGCTTCAACTTTGATACAACAACATATTAATTATGGCGCTAGACCCAGGGCCGAGGGTTGTAGTGGAACATCCCACCCCACTGGGTTGAGCCTCGATCAGGTTGACATTAGCCAAGGTGGCTGGCAGTTCCCTGCGCCGTCCCAGAGCTAGCCTACTTTTTTTACCCAGAAACACACACACACACACACACAGCAGACCTCTATGGCCACATCTCTGTCGAGGAGTAGTTAATCCATGATAGATGGACCAAGATACATTTAGATAGCAGCACCTCTGTCACAAAGAATAAGAGTTTAGGACAACAGCTCAACTACTGAACTTTTACCCCAGTGGTTTATGGAGTAGGTTTGCTCATGTTTAAGGATATATGTGACTGACTCCCTCTATTCGGTCATATAAATCAAAATGTGAAATTGTGTTTTTTTACATTGGATAAAAGTAGAGACTCAGAGCTAGAAAATGGTATATCATACACTGCAGTTGAGGAACAATGGGAAAGTAATACTGCTTTCAAAGTTGATAAACTTGTAACCCCACTTTTGAGAAAATGGCTCTTGAATGTTTTGGTACACCTACTGGAGAGCTCTTCTTTGTCTACACCCATTCAGCATCGTTCACACCCTCTTAAGCCTTAGCCCCACCCATCTCTTTAAGATGTCATTACATTTTAGTAATTTAGCAGACGCTCTTATCCAGAGCGATTTACAGTTAGTGAGTGCATACATTATTTTTTATTTATTTTTCATACTGGCCCCCGTGGGAATCGAACCCACAACCCTGGCATTGCAAACGCCATGCTCTACCAACTGAGCTACATCCCTGCCGGTCATTCCCTCCCCTACCCTGGACGACGCTGGGCCAATTGTGCGCCGCCCCATGGGTCTCCCGGTCGCGGCCGGCTACGACAGAGCCTGGATTCAAACCAGGATCTCCAGTGGCACAGTTAGCACTGCGTTGCAGTGCCTTAGACCACTGCGCCACTCGTGTCATGTGTGAGGCCATGTGCTAAACAGAGTGGGTAAGGAAGTGTAGTAAACAACCCAAGACTAAAAGTGGTGAAAGTAGTAGCCTACGATAAGGAAAAACTCCAGGTAAA